ACTGACGGTCTCACAAGTATCCATGCCTTCTGCAACTGCACCTGCATTTATTTCTATTTCACCTTCAAGTTGTAAAGAACCTTTGTTCAACTTAGCAGTAGTAGACATATCCCTCATCTCATCATGATCAACCAAAGAGAACTGTGAAGTATCATGATCATTATCACGAATATTCACTTTACCGTAAATTTCATCATTTTCAAACTCTTTCATAACAGAAGTAGACAATTTTGGTTCCTCCTCACAAATCCTTAAAGGTTTTATAACTTCACTCTGACTAGTAATACCTTGTAAACTTGTGGAGTCAGAACTGCACCCTGAAGCAGTAACTCTATTCTGTGACACTCTATTCAACAATGGCTTACCAGTTGCAACTACAGACTTCTTCACCGCACCGTTATCGTCACACAATTCGGAGTCAGGCCTGGAGTTTACATTTGGCTTATCACTGAACTTGCTCACCGGTTCACAGTTCACTTCTGTATGCACCTCTTGCAAACGTGTAAAACACAACCGTGTTTGTCTTGCATCTTGTAACTTATCTGTTGAGGATGTACTACGAAACCTGTTACACTCACTAGGTCTATATGCATTACTAGACATCATGGAGCCTTCTCGATATCCACCTCTCTGAGGCCTATTCGTCATCAATGATTGCGTTTTACCCTCAGACTGCTCTATTCTAGGGGTGAGATTCAATATACTGGCAAACTTGCTCATAGATTGATTGACACTATCTTTTACTAGTTTCAGGATATCATCAAATTTTGGCTCGATACCTTCATCCTCCATATGGGAGCTTATCTTCACCCACTTCCTTTGCAGTCGAGTAGGTAGGCGTCTTGCTATTACTTCTAGTATAAAACTCGAGTTGAGGTCACTCATGCAATTCATCGAAATCAATGCATTCTTGTAAATCAGCAAAATATCTAAAAACTCAGTGAGTGCCTTGGAGTCATCTTGAAGTTGACTACGATTACCCTTAACAGCTCCGAATAATTTCCCTACAATCATCGAAGGTCTTCCAAACCTTTGACGTAGTATGCTCATAGCCTCGTCGTAGCCCTCTTTTGGCTTCATAAACTTACAGCACTGTATAGCTCTTGCAGCATCTCCAGTGCAATATCTCATCAAATACATTAACTTCATTTCATCAGTTAATAAAAACCACTCAACATGATCTCAAACTCCTTTACAAATTGTAAATAATCAGCCGGGTTTCCATCAAAACATCGTGGTTCAAATTTAGGGAGTTTGATGTTCCTATTATCCCTGGACGGCGAAACAGTAACATCAACCATGTCACGCTTAACATCAGACACATCGTTACAAGTAACAGACAAGTCACCATGACTTACTTTCCTGTTTGCATCCAAGACGCTCTGTCCCTTCTTTGACCCAGGCATTGTTGAACTTGACCCAATTCCAAAAACGTTCCAGATATTGCTTGTTCAAAGAGGACTTGACCGGCACCAGGAAAGATGAACGGTGACTATCCAAACTTTCACCAGCGGTCCAAAACCGTCGAAAACTGACTTCACCGTCAGAAACTGTCAGCCACGTCTCGTAAACCGTTAATGCCCAGCTCTTCCTACGCTGGGACTCAAGCTGTCGCTTGAAGTTTCTCAGAAACGCTTAGTAATAACGGACGCAAAAACCAAAACACCGATTGGCTACTCGAGAATTCTTTATTGTAACACCAACATATAGGCAACTTTAAAATTAAGTTTTAACTAAGATTCACAACTAAGATCTATGAACAAATAGTACAATAATAAATCACAATATTACTTCTGACGGTTTTGGCCTGACTTCTTTCTGAACAGCGGCCGATAAGACGATGACTGGTGTATTGATGCCTCCGCGGAAATTAGGGAAGTTGGTTTTGAGCAAACAACAATGAATTGATCGTTCAGTCTTCAACTAAGTGACGCAGCCTGTTATATTTTGCTATGTTTATATGGATCGATATTTCATTATAACTGACAATGTGCTTTTTGCTGTCCACTGACTAAACAAACATATCTGACCTTGTTGTCACATGGCATTACAACCAATCATGTTAAGACTGTCTACTGATTTGTTCATTTTTGAACATTCGCTCATACACTTGTGTGACATTGATTTTCCTTGTTTGGAAAATACAAGTATCTTCGTGAACCTGGTGGTTTTCTGATTTCCGCCTTCTTGCGTCATGACTACTAATTAATCGACCAGTACATAACAAATACCTTATTTTTACACGTGGCTATATACTTCATTTGGTAAATACCTGCACTTCATTTTCTGCATACAAATATGCCAGTGGGCCGCTCAATTTGCACAGCCCATACGGCGTGTATTTGGAATTTAATGTCAATTGGATGTAATGTTTCAATGTGTAATTATCCTTTAGGGTCACCAAATATTTTATTATGTGGGCAGTCCCACCCGCAATCAAACGCATTCTGTAAAACATGCTATGCACTTCCTTCCCATTTTAGCGACCACCTCTTGTACCAAAATAACTATAAGAGCTATCAGCCGGTAGCGCTTATTTAAGAAGACAGCTAGTGATGTTGAGCATGGACTTCGTAAGCACTCTGGTGATCAAATATATCAAGCGAGCCCGCACCGACGCACATCTGATATCTATGGTCGGCCTGCAAAATTTGGGCTACCGATATCCATGCTGAAAATTCCATACTTGTACCGAAAATACAGTGTGGAATCAGGCTGTTAATAAAAAAAGGAAGCTTGGCCAAACACACAAGGAGCATCTGCAAATGTGCCAATGTATCCATAGATGCTGAAGCTGATGGTGTTGCCAGAAGACCAATGGATGCAACCCAGAATATTATGAACTGCGACCATCCTAGATTGGTCCAATGTTAGTGAACCAGCTCGACGAGAAAAAGGTGGCACAACAGTCACGGTACCGAAAGTTGCAACTTCTAAACGTTATAGGTCCAAACGGTTACAGGTTTTAACATGGCAGCTTCGGAGTCTGGAAATAAAAATTCGGATAATCCAAAATAATCATTTTCGTCGTATTGCCTCAGTCTTCTGTTGAACATCAAGCAACAAGATCACAGTAGGAAATGTATCCTCCAGAGCAATAAAAATCAGCTTGAATATGCCGGAAGTTCATTCAATTTTAAAAACGCTGACAGCATTCATCATCCAATTCCGTTCAATATAGTAAGAACTTATAAACTACAAATGAGGTACAGTGCCTACTTGGTACTATCTTCTGTACGCCTCAATCACTAACGAATTATTGAGTGGCTCTAGCATTTATAGTATGTCATATTAGGTACATGAACCTGCAGGCTGAAGCCCATTAAGTTTTCACTGTTTACATTCTCTAGTTGAGACTCCACTGCCAATGTCTATCGTCGTATACCATTGACTCACGTTGCTTAAACCTACCCTGCTGATCTGTGTTAACCACCACAAGACTTTCAGGCTTAAAATTGCTCAGAATATGGAATGAACAAACGAGTGAGATTACCCCACTAAATGTATATTTTCAAGCATTGTTCAGCTGTCAGAATCTGGAAGTGCAGTATGGCATCGTTAAGAAAGTTTCTCATCGAACCCTCCGCGGTACCACTCGGCTAAGCCCATCACAGGTACCCTAGACGTCATTTGGGGGGATACCTCCTTTGAGAATAACTTCCAGAGCTATGATATTAAAAAAGCTATCAAAATTATACCTATTTTGATATCTAGAATTTACACGGGGCAAAATAAACGTGTCATGGTGGGTGTTATCGTACTGTACAGCATCAAATCTCATCGCTCTTTCCAAAACAAATAACCGAAAATCCAGCAGCATGCATGAGAACAGTCACAGGAAGACGGACGAGAAGTGTCTTCCTTATAAACCTTTTAACTGTGATATTCCTTGTAGCAAATTATTCAATCTGAAGACCCTAGAGCTTGGGGCGAAATTTCCCCAGTTTCAATTAAAAACCATAATCACTTAGACCACATAAAGTTATCAGAAATAGCGATCGGAGGGGCAGGTATCACTACATAACTGTATATATTATTGACCAGATGGAGGCCACTTACATTAACCAGTCTCGTCCTCTAACCAGATCGAATCAAAAGGGTGTTTTGTGGGGCGATCATCAGTGGTGTGCCCGTTCCTCATTTGAATGGCATCCAACTACCAATATTAGCTAATAAGTAGCATAACCACGAGGCACTGACGATTGCTTTCTCGACCACGGTATATCATCCGAATGACTTCGGTTTCAGGAGGAAATTATAGTGAAATCTCAACCTGACTTGTAGACGTACCTCCGTATTTTGCCGGTTTCACTCAAGTAAATAGCAAGAATTCAGGTGGTCTGAACTTATCCGGCTCTCTTTCATATCAGTCGAAACCAGAAACGCCACTCATGATCTCGGCCCGAGACAGGCAGAACGACTATTTGGCACTTATATCGTTTCGATCTAGGTAGCAAGAACAGATGGTTGATATGAGTGGTGTCCATCTGTTCAAATGAATTAATCGGTGGTATACACGATTGTTCTCTTCGTCAACTCCAAATGAATATAAAACCAGGAGGCAAGCTTATTAAAGGGTATTTAAGGCCCACAGTTTTCCATTTCTTCTGTAATCCGCCACTTACAAATTCCTTCTACCGATTTTTGAACTTCAGCGAATGTGATTAGAAATGCAAACTCTACTTTAGCGATCTAATTTTGGTCACTTTGGAACAATTCATGGAGAATTTATGAATCGTTCATCCAACACCACGAAGATGAAAACCGTTACTCTTATCGTTTCTATATTTATATGAAACCTTTCTTTAGGTCTTCTGAGAAAACATTCCTTTTGTGTCGGGTATCTACCAGATTGCACAATCAAAAGTGATGCTACAGTTCAGAGTTTATTCCCTTGTCCTAATATAAATGTTATACATTACACTGAATATCATTATTAGTGTTTATTAGCTCCAGTGCTCCTATTACATGAAGTTTGATGTTTTATTTGTTTGTTTACGCTAATTTGCAAACGTCAACCGTGAGGTAGCACGACCTTCTACACTGTTTGGAATCGTGTTGAGATGGTGGGACAACTGATTGTCCCGTTTCTGTTAGCTTACTTTTCCCTTATTGAAGATGCTTTAACTGCAGAAAATAATCCAGCATTCATTGGCTATGTAACCGTTAAGGACAAAAGTCACTTCCGCACAGTTTTCGAGAAGCAAATCAACAGATCACCGACCAATCCTTCTGAATTATACCATGCTATTCTTGGCCTTCATTCTCTTGGTGAGAAGATACCAAATATAGATGCAATTTGTTCTGCGTTGAACAAACCTGTCAAGAATCCAGACTTGGCTTTCTATGCAAGCATGGGCCAAAAGATCTTGGGCTCCGCTAAATGCAAGGTAATAATCAACCATACTTAGGCAGTTTTGTGTTTATTCGGGGTTTCTTGATCATATCCCTTCGCGTTACTGCCACAGTTTTCTCTGTAGGCTATTTTTCATCCTCTAGAGTGAATTTCTGTTGCTTCGCTGATAAGTTCATAAGGTTATCATTGAACAAATATCATGTTCACATGGTTCCTCATTTACTGATGCTCAAATGAAGTAAACTAGAAGTGTTGCATTTGCAGCTACTTACCCTTTAACTCCAGAGCCCTACATCATCTGGATAATACTACTAACTGCCGCCCTTACAGTATGTCATGCTCTGCCACGTGTTCACTAAGTTAGTGGCGAATCTACTGAAGGTATGTGCCTAGATTTCAAAAATATACCGTAAATCACTATCAGATTTGTATTGGTCGAATTTTGGACATGTTCTGCCTTTAAATAACCCTTTTACATCATCAGTAGTGAAGATGATACACTATTAAAGTAAGAGTGCCTGTCCCCTGTCATATACCAAAGCCGTGAAACTCCACTGTAGATTTTGGTTTCGCATAAAAGTTTCGTCCTGTTATCCTCTCATCTACTAAACTACTAGGGATACAATAGATAATTTCTACCGTTTAGACAATCTAAATTGATATGACTACTGCTTCAGTCTAAAATTTTTTCCAAAATAATACACTACAGCTTATATGGGATGGTAATCCACTCGCAGCATATTCGCTCTTGATTTATTAGAGGCCGTTCCTGCAGAAGTAGTTTTGGAGGAAAGACATGAGGTTCGGATGACAGTACACCAACACTTTATTTTTAACCCTTCGAAAAATTCCATCACGTAGCATTATTCTCTGTGCAATTATGTTCTTCCTTTTGATTCACCAACCAATATTCAGTGTTGAGTTACTCAGCGATAACCTCTTAATTATATTACTTCTCGGAAAGCAGTTGTCCTAATCTTATATTCACAGTCAATTGTGTGACTGCATTTTTAAAATTGCCAGGAATGAATTCACTAAGTAAGCAAACGGCAATCTTAAGCTCTCGTGTTTAGTGGGGTCAGTAGCAGTTCGTAGTGAAGTAACTGCGAGGTTTTGATTACTTTCGCACTCAACTCTGTTTATGTAAACGACGGTCACAAAACAATACTAGTCTGTAAACCGTAGCTGTTGAACTTTTTCGTAACTTACGTCAGTATGTGATTCAGCTTTATTCTCAACGTCAATTTATTGACTGGAAACAGGTTTGTAATCCATCCCATCAGCTCTTTAGCATCGCATGAAAGACTAGTCGGATTTAATTCAACCTGTTAGCCTGTCCCAATCTGTATTTTATAATTGCACTCGTAAACTGCTTACCTAAAACCCTTACTGTCACAGAACGTCAAAAGTTAATTTCCAATCACCTATCTTGAAATATACTGTCCCTTGTTATTGTATGCAAGATACTGTAGCTTATAGGACTAGACGCTCAGTTTTCAACCAGTAAGTCGTAGATTCAAACCACATCACCCACTGATGCTTAAGCAGGAATCCTGATACAGTAATTGCACCAATTATCATATACTCAGTTATGAATTATATGTGCTTTCGTCATTCAATTTCTACGTATATTTATTCGGAATATATTCTTCGTTCTACTGATGTGTTCTAACCAAATCAACAGCAATCAAATATATACTTCTAAAGTTCATCTTTTCATACATCTTCACTCTAGGTATCAATTCAAGAAGTCGAAAAACTATCCAAACAGTTGTTGGCTCAAGATATAACAGTTGAAAACTTATATTTTATAATTTCATCCATGAAAAATCTAGGAATAAAAAGTTAGCATTCGCTTCCTTCTCATATATGGTTTCTATTCTAGTTGATGCCAATCAGGTTACTTCAATAGTCAACAAACTGAAAGCTAAGGACAACAGTCCAACAACGTAAGTTTGGTTCAACATTTTTGGCGGATTCTCAGATTATATATATATATATATATATACTAAATCGATGACTTAACGCTACATTTTTGCGTATTTCTGCATAGACTTTCGATCAAAACTCGTCTGTAAATTTTCATTATGATGTTTTTAAAAAAATTGAAAGTGGTTTGTGTTGTTGAGTGATAGACTGACACATATCTCTGCGAAGTCCTACTATGATCTGTTTATGTATGAACTCTACTAAGTTTGCGAAGTCCATGATGCACTAAAACCTTGAAATCGATTCTGAAGCGACTTATTGTGACATACTTTTTTTAAAGTCTTAAAAATATTTAAGTAATTTTTTTACTCTAAGGGCGAATTTGTTTCGTAAGTTGTGAGATTAGCTGACGTATATTGCTAAGACTTTACACACAGATGAATCTTACTGTTACGTAATATTACAGTCACTTCAACAGATTCTGGTGCATAGGTAAACTTACCAGCGTCCAACAATCGTCATATTTCTTGACCTGTAAGCGGCATTCGATTCCGTCGACCGAGAGATACTACGGCGGTGTTTACCTGTGAAGGGAATACCGTGGAAATACATTGCACTGATTAAGGCACTCTACTCGAACTCATACAGCCAGCAAAGGGATAACTTACGGAGATTTGTCATCTCAAGTGATGACAACCAGTGGTGTCCGACAGGGATGCCCATTGTCCCCATTTCTCTTTGATTTCATCATACATGTACTAATGGACTTAACCATAACTGACTTCAGTGGCTCAGGGATTGACTTGTTGCCACCAGGGAATAATCTCATTGACTTAGGATATTCAGACGATATAGTCCTCCCTCCTAGGTGAAGACGCTGACAAAATAGAGTAGAGTCTTCTGAACACCTTGATCAGCAGCTATCTTCGTATGTTTGGCATGCGATTCTCTCCCATTGTCAAATGTAAGACTCAACTGGACTACATTGGCTCCTAGCTTAAGGCCAGAGGGGAGTGAAGTGGTTGGTGGAGCGTGTTGACGACTTCACTTTTTTTGGAAGTTGTATCAGCCAACGCCAGTGGGTTGACTGCTGAGCACGGATACAGAAGGCTAGTTTCGCATATACAAATTTACGCCATCTCTGGCATAGACGTGTTATCTTGCTTTCGACAGAAGGACGTGTGTACTGCTCAGCAGTTCACTCCGTCCTCCTTTATGACTGTGAGCGAGACCTAGCCATTGAGAGTGGAAGACATGAAAAGGTTGGCTAGCTGTCTTCGATCATAGGTGTCTGCGTTCTATCTCCCGCATTAAGTGGCTTAATAAGATGAGCAATATTGAGGTTAGGCGTCGAGTTCTAGGTAAGGAGGAGAAATCAATCGACAAGGTTGTGGAGTTACTTCGTTTGAGATAAGTGGTTAGGGCATGTGTTACACATGCATCCCTAGCCATCGCCTTCCTCGACGGGCAATCGTAGCTGATTTAGGATGGATCAGCTTGGAAAAGAGTTAGCACGTGGTGGTTAAGCTGGTCACGTAGGGGGGTGTAAACATCCTGCCAGTCTGGTCAGGGTCTTCGGGATGGTAAGAACCAATGAAGGCTGAAGACAATCGGTGTTATGGCTCAAAACCGTTCTCAATGACTGGTGTAGATACATCCACTCCTTGTGATTTATAATATCCAATAAAATTCTATCGTCCTTCCATATTACTACTCTTTTTGTCTCATATTTCTTTTTATTATCTCTCTTTTGAGTATCTCTCTCTACTCTGTTATTTTTTGCTTTGTGTGGTACCTGAAGGGAGAGTGGCAACTCGAACTGCTGTACATCTGTGCAAAGTCCTGTGTTGGAACCAATCAATCACAGTTACTTAGCGTTTTTAAAAATACCCATTGACAGTAATCACATATCCATGTGGCTTAAACTGTCCTAAACGGAATTGTAGTTGCAAAACTTTGCACCAAAGTGCATCAGTTGAAGTTGCCACATTCCATTTAAAATACAAAGGTAGTTAAAAAGAACTTGAATAGGCAGATATATAGAGGATAAAAAATAATTATTTAGGGGAAAACATGAGGACTTATTGGGTTTTGTATATTGCGAAGAGTGAATACATCTGCATCACTGAGAACGACTATGAGCCACGTTACCAATAGTCATAAGACACTGATTCTTAGGGTTTTGATAATCCCAAACAGGCAGTAGTATACACCTCGTTATATATATATATATATATATATATAGCTCAACCCAACAGTCATAGAAGTCATTAGTTAGTTGAGTGTTATAACCTAACCATCCGTAACTATTTCACAGTCGAATTCTATGTCAGATTACGTTATTCAATAAGGAGGGCAAAGGTTCGTCATGGGTATCATATATCCTAGCCATGTGATTTAAAAAAAGATCAGTGTTAATTAAAAGTTGTAAATTACGTGGTACTCAATGGCACAAAGATAGAAGTTTGATAAGTTTGGAGAATAGTATTTTACGGCCTACTATCGACAGTTTCCATCTGTACCAAAGATACATGGATGATACTTTCATCATATGTGACGACAATACCGACATTGAATTGATAACTAAGGAGTTTAACAGCTGCCATCATGCCATCAAGTTCACGTCGGAATCAGAGATTAACTCGGAATTCCACTTTCTGGATGTTTTTCTGAAGAGGAGATCTGATGTTTCTCTTCAAAGATCGATCGGCGGGAAACCAACATGGAATAGTCAGTACACAAATTTCCACAGTTGGGTCCCTTTGAGAAGAAAGAGAAATCTGATCCATTCCTTATCCTCAAGAATAAGGAGGATATGTTCAAATGATATAATCAATGGGGAACTGGGGTGACTCAGACAAGTCCTCATAGAGGATGGATATCCTCCAAGATTTATCGAGAGAAACATGAAGTTAAGGGAAAAGCCTGAAAGAATCCAGACGGTGCCAAAGAAACTGCTATTGATGAGTGTTGAATTTAAAGGTGAGACCACAGCTGAGATCCTGAAGAATCGCTGCTTATGCAGATCACTGAGGAAAGCCTCCTTTATGGCTGAGCTACGTATCAATTTCTACAGCCGACAAATGATCAATGGATGTGTGAAGGATAAACTGCCGCTTTGGGTCACTTCAATGCGTGCTTATAAATTAACCTGCTCGTTTGGAGCTAGTTGTATTGGCCGCACAAAGCGCACGCTTTCCAAACTCATCTCTGAACATTATCTGCCATGGTTAGCAAAGGGACAATGTAAGACAATTACTAGCTCAATTCTCAAGCATTTATTGAACTCAGGCCACGTAGCTCCACCAGAGTCGTCTTTCAAGATCATCCACAAAGTGTAGCCAAATGGTACAAAGGGCATCAGGTTTCAGCTTTTGTGTATGGCGGAGGCGCTGGTAATTCATCAATACAACCCTGAACTCTGTATACAGAAAAAGTTTGTCCAGTCTCTTATTCTACCTTGGTCTTAACCTCTTCACTAATCGTTCCCTGTAAAAAATTTTTTTGATTTTTCTTTTGTTTTTTAATTTTTAATTCTACTTTTAGTTTGCTTTTGCTTTAATAATTAATTCACTATTATCAATCTCATAGGCTCCTTCTGTACATTTCACACCCTCTTCACACTTGTTAAATTGGCACTCAAATACCTTCATTCTCACTCAAGAGCAATTTTAACCTTATCAAATTTCTATCTTTGTGCCATCATTGCGTACCACGTAATTTACAACCTTTAATTTTCACTTCTAAAGCCATTTATGAGTAATTATATCAATTAAATCAGTGTTATTTTGCAGGTCGATTGGAAATTTGTTTTGGGGTCATTAAGTTATCGCGCTAAACTATCTATCTAATGGTAACTATTCATCACTACTCTGGAGACTTCAGTCAGCAGTTATTTCGGCAGTATCTAAAGTTTTTTATGATGAAAATTCCGAGGTGTCTGTTATTAAAACCTAGTACTGATTTCATTATACATATGCTATTGTATTATTCGCCAGTTCCCGTATTAACTAACATTCATCGTAAAGAAAACTTTTATTATCACTAAAGAAAATTTCTGCCCGTATTTCCAAAAAATCTTTTGTAATTTCAATTTTCAGGATAGCCTTTATTCTTCAAATTCTTCCACAACTTGGCTTGACTAAGACAGTTATGGATGGTTATGCGTCAGGTATGAATGATATTCTAGATCAAGCCGATGAAGTGAATGGTAATCAGCTATTTGTAAGTTTTTTTTTTTTATAATTTTGATGTTCACTTTGATCTACTAGTTTTAAATCACTCAAACACTGCTGTTTCGAAATTTGTATTAATAAATGACTAGTGTGTGTGTGTGTGCGGAGGGGGGGGGAGAATCAGTAGTTTCGGTCATGTTTTTTTATCATAGTAAATGACTCAGTAGGCGTATGTATTATTATTTTTCCCTTGGGTTCCTAGTGGAACATACGGCTTCAACTGCACGTCTCCACTTGCTTCTGTCTTCCTTCTGCTTTACTTTTCACCTGCATCCATATTAGTCCATACTCTTTCAACTCCTCTTCACACGATCTCCTCCACGTCACCTTTGCACTGACGTCCCACTCGCCGCTTCCCTTTTGGCCTGGTTCTACTCGAGCAATGGCCTGACGCGCGCGTGATGTCACCCAGCGGCCTCTTCAACGAGTATCCAATGCATCTCCACTTTCTCCTGCATATTTGTTGGTTGACGATTGGTTCCTGTTTTGTTTGTTCCTTCCCATAGTTTCTTGTTGATGATTGTTTCTGATCTTGAGTATAGAGCGAAGACACTTAGTTGTCGATAAAGGTCTGCAACAGGCTGTTGGGAATATTCTTTGTGACCCACCCGCCAAGTTTCTGATCCGTTTGTATTGAAAATGAGAATTTTGTTGTTGATGCCGAGTGATGAAGATTTCCAGATTGGTTTCAGGTTGATGAATGTGTTCGTCGCCTTCCCGATTCTCCATTTGACATCCTCGTCCGTTCCGACCGCCTGTAGTTGAGACAATGCTCCCTAGATCAGTGAGTGAATGAAGTAACCTCTTTCAAATCCCTCCCGTTGTTGGTTATTGGCGCTGGATTTTACTGTTGTTGTTGGTTAGTTATTTTCATAACCTCCGTCTTGTCTATGTTCACCTGAAGTCCTGTCTTTGCTGCTTCTTCGACCAGTTTGTCGGTTTTCTCTTGTAAGTCTTCGATTTTGTATGACAAACATAAATCATCCGCGAAATCCAGGTTTTCTAGAATTTCGTGCAAGTGGTTCGGGGTTCGATTCCCGGTCGACGCACTCCTTTACCTCTCTAAGCCAACAATAGGACTAGTAAAGAAGGAAGGTTAGGCATGAGGCTGGCTAGCAACCCCATCCCGTAAAAATAAACACCACTGCTACAGGAACTTCAAGCCTCTAGCTTGAAGTCCCCTATGTTCCACTGCGAAAGGGAAAGAATTTTTTAAAAATTTGAAGAGTATTCTATGTGCAAATTTCTACAAATCTTATCAACATCTGGCTTAGCTAAAGCCTGAACTTTCATTACTCGATTGAACCATCGCTAATAGTAGTTTGTATGTCATTAGACTAGCAAGTCCAGTTGGTCAGAATTCGGATACCTGAAATATGTTCTTTAAGAAACACAATGAGTCACATTCACTGTGTGAGAGCTGATGAAGTTATCCAGTTACCTAAGCTGAAGTAGACGAAGCGGGATTTGAGCCCAGAAACCATTGTATGAAATATAAGTGCTTAAGTCAGTCAGTCAGCCACATTTCTGCGGTTCAATTTTAAAAGAAGTTAACTGTTGACCAAAGTTGTGTTTTCATCACCTCTACCTACCACTCAATGAACTGCAGTTCAAACACAACTGAAGATCATCTCCTGCAAAGTTATCCATTTGCTAATCGAGTCTAAGCATCTGATAGGTCACTTTACATTACCTACCGATGGCCTAAGTATATATAGGACTGCTAAGTCTTTTCAAAGTACTTGTCCAAACTATGACCATGTTATATGGTGTATGTGGTAGATTTTGTCATGTATTGTAATGTTTGTCATAGTTGTATTTGTTGTTCCAAACGAGTTAACAATTAAATTAGTCGTACCCAACTAGCAGCAAGACTAACTACAAATCTTCATTTTTACAAAACTTTATGCAGAGATGATCACTTAATCTATTTGTGATGTTAAAGGAACACCATGCTAACTACTAACACCATGAAATCATAAACTCCTTATTAATATTGACCTGTTCTGGCGCAGATCACTTATGCTCAAAATTGTATTGAAAGGATCACGAGTTCTGATGGTCAGATATATATGTGCAGTAGTTGCTTCTGGGAGCAATAGAAAGATGCTCTAGTTCATTCGAGTCATTGAAAGAGTTTGTAAAGAAGATAGTACGTCGATCTAAAAAGTTGAAAAAAAGGCTAAATACTGGGTGGTGGTGGTCGTAGGGCACTATATGAAGCAGCTTAGGTGATTAAAATTTCCAGCTGTATCTACTCACGCCTAATTCTTTAGAAAAATGCAGACGACCCTATCTAGAGGATGTGCGGCGACTCTGCCTGTTCGATCATCGCTGTCTCCGCAGGATTGCTTGCGTTCAATGGCATCATCGCGTAAGTAATTCTGAGGTTCGGCGGCGTGTGTTTGAACACAGTGGAGATAACCATTCATTGAGTGTCGTCATCTGGAAACACCGGCTCCGGTGGCTTGGACATGTGCTGCTTCCGTACAGGTCTCTGTTCTCTAGCCCTAGGATGGGATGGAAAAGGCGAAGGTGGTCAGTCCATGACGTGGCGTCGTGGGATGAAGGATGTTTGTGCTAGATTAGCATCGGTTGATGCGTCACGACTCGCTGGTTGGGGTCCGCGAGACAGCTCGAAACGTTATCGGATATGGCCAAGAATCGTAATCAATGGCGAACGTGTTGCAATTTCCTTCTTTCTTCCCTTCCTGATGATAGCTAACGCTTACTGTTTGGACTTGTTAAGCATGACTGTTTTCTTTCCAAATGAAGTTCTTTATCCGTTCTCTACTTATATTTTTTTACTTTTGATCTATGTTGTTTTATTATTATTGTGTGGCGCATCTTTCTTGGTGCCATATTGTACCAAGTTTTTTCTGCGTTTAAATAAAATAAAATAAGATAGCAAACTAAGGCGTTTGAAAGACATAGAACATCAAGGATGTTCTATCATTCTGAACTAAAACCGATGTTCTGACTGTCTGTCTGTCTGTCTGGATTCAACATAGGACTTGGCACCGAAGTGCACCAGTTCGAGTTGCCACGTTCCAAATAGCACACAAAGGTAGGCAAGAAGATGAGTGAAGAGAATCAAAAGAGTTTGACAGGTATAAGAGCGAAACAGAATGGGTAATGGTAGAAAGAAATATGAAAGATTACAGAGACTGAATACATCTGCGCCATTGACAACGATTTTGAGCCCGAATTTTGGGATCCATTTGGTTCGGCTAACAGTCTCTAAGCTATTAGTCTGTTAATAGCTGTTAGAAATATTGCTTGTCATCGAACTTCACAGATATTTTTGTAAAAGCTTTCGATCAGTGTGTGGGTGCATCAGCTATGCGTTCGCCACTAACGTTGCGTTTTACTGACATTGTACTATTTATAATATCTAGTTTCTCAAATACCCGAAGTCCATGCCCCCTGGTGGTCAGCCTACAAAAGCTGCATGTTATTTCAGTGTAACTTAGCGAAAAAAGCGTCTAGATAATTTCATACCTGTACGTCCAACTGGTAAATTTATGTTGCCTTTTAATTCTTTCTTATCCTTTAGTATGAAAAAGGCCTGTATACCACATCGTTGGTTGCGAAAGGTATTGTGGAATTTGTAAATGTATACGGAGAAATCCCGAAAGCTGTAGAGGTAACTTATTATTATTATTCATGTAGTACACTCATGTATTGTCTCCGTCTGTTTTTTTTCTAATTCGGTAATCTTAATTATTTTAAGGCGCATAAGCAATAGTGGAGAAAGGTAAAGAAAACTTGTGTATTCCTCATAGTCTTTGAATGTCAAATAAATTATCCGTGTAATACTAGGCTGAACTGAATTTCTGGCGTAGAACTTCACGTTGGCAGCTGCTGTCCTGATGTGATGATTGAGTATGGATATCATAATGACCCCAACAAGCTACACTGACTGGCACGAATGCTCCTTCAGGTCCTACTAGGCCGGAAAGATCACTTAGATTGAGGTCATATTTAAAAATGATTACCATCATAGTGTGGTTTTTGACAGTGAAATCGTACTGTTAGTGATGAATATGGGATTGTAACAGTAGTATGATGTCTTTCCCTTAGACAACCAGCTAGTCAGGTATATTCTGGAGAAGTGGGTTGAAAAGACCGACCCTAGAGATTTTGTCTATAGCTGGCGGTAAGTTCTTCATGCGGACATAACTCCAAAGGCCATTTCAATAGAGGCCATATGTAACTGGTGTGAAGCAGTTATCTCATGGGCTCTGCGGTCAAACAGCACCCTCATGCTGTTTCTGTTCCAGGCATTTCAGGTAGGACAATATTGAACTATATCATTATGAGGCTGATTGAAGTTCGCAGATGAAAACAGTTAAGTTATAAAAGGTTATAAAAGCTGCAGAACACTAAGCTCAAGAGGGTATATCTATCCCACCATCCAACAGTTTAAAAAGCCCGTTAACAGATGCACCAATGATATAGGACGCAATTATTAGTGCTCATATTGTACAGTTCGTTATAAAAGTAAAAAGTAATCCAGGAATGCAGACACATCCAAATGACGAGTCCCAATTAGGACGAAATGCGCACCCTGGATTCCACTGCTAGTCACCATCTACCAATTGACTTCAAACATTAATCCGCTCTGACGGTATATGCAAGTCCCTATAAAGACTACTTACTACCTGTGAAATGAAGAAAACTGTTCGTGATTTTATGCGTGACACAGCATGACACTAGTCAGCCACATAGGGAGGTGTAAAACTGGCTGGCTGGCTGGGGGCTGGTGGTCTTTAAGATGCTAACAGCTGAAGAATGTTGTTGATATTAGCTCAAAGTTGTTCTTAGTGGTGGCGGCTGAAATGCATTCACATTTTGCGATCTCTTAAGTCTCTTAAATTCTCCATGTGTGTATTTATGGACTGTGACAAATTGAACTGCTGCAGATTTGGGCAAAGTTCTACATTAGAAATTCAGATCATTTCAGGTGTGTGTGTGTGTGATATGTTATCAGAAAATCTAGATATTTCCTCTTTGCACACATGTGCGACAGTTCAAGTCCTCACACTCCCTACATGTACCACACAAAGCAACAGAAGTAAGTAGAAGAAATGCATAATAGAGACAGTAAACAGAGGTGTGAGACAAAGGAATAGTCATAACGAAGAACAATATAGTTTCATTGGAGATCATAAGTCACAAGGAGTGGATGCATCTGCGGTAGCCATTGAAAACGATTTTGAGCCATATGACCAATTGTTTCCAGACACTGGTTTTTACCGTCCCGAGGACCCCAACCAGGAAGTCTACACCTTCCTACGTGACTGGCTTAGACTAACTGTTGTGGATTTGATTGCCTGGTTCCATGTTTTTGTTTGACCTCCGCTAGCTCTTTTCCAGCCTGACCCTGTATCAGCCAACATCACCCGCCGGTCGAGGAAGGCGATGACTAGGAATACGTAACACATGTCCTAACCATCTCAGTGGACGTAATCTCACAGCCTCGTCGATTGATTTCCCCTCCTTACCTAGAACTCGACGCCTAACCTCAATATTGCTTACCTTATTATACCACTTCACACATGAGATCGAACGCAGGCACCTATGATCGAGGACAGCTAGCCAGCCTTTTCATGTCTTCCACTCTCAATCGCTATGTCTCGCTCACAGCCATAAAGGAGGACGGAGTGAACTGCTGGGCAGTACACACGTCCTTCTGTCGAAAGCAAGATAACACGTCTATGCCAGAGATGGCATAAACTTGTATATGCGAAACTAGCCTTCTGTATCCGTGCGGAGATTTTGTCAGCAGTCAACCCACTGGCTTTGGTTGTTGCAACTTCTTAAATAAGTGAAGCGGTCAATATGCTCTACCACTTCACTCCCTATTTCTAAACTATGAGTCAGTGTTGTCCAGTCCTGTAACATCATCTTACATTTTGCGGGATCGAATCGCACGCCAAACATTCGTAAATTGCAGCTCAAGGTGTTCAGAAGACTCTAGTCTATTTTGTCAGCGTCCTTGCCTAGAAGGACTACATCGTCTGAATATTCTAAGTTAACGAAATTATTTCTTGGCCAGGAAATATCCTTTTATTGGGTTTCTTCACTCACGAACACACCCCATATATATATATATATATATATATATATATATATATATAGTTTTTCTTGATATGCGTGCACTTCTTATACAGATACTGTCAAGTATACTTCCCATATCACGTCTTTGCTTGTTCTGGCTTAAGTAGAGCGGGCTGAGAGAGACAGGTAGTTGACGTATAACGTTGTTGACGTAGTCAAACAGTATTCGTGATCAGTACGTCTAAGTGTAGCATCAGCGTCCCTATTCTATTAAATCAGCGCTTTTCGAAATGTAGTACTATGTTATCTAAAGAGCCCTGAGAAGTTAAAGTGCACTGGACTGTTGTTTTTCTGTAGTTATAGACTCTTCAATGATGCCCTCAATGCTCTTACGGTTTGCGGTTTCTTTTACTTTACTACTGTATGATGTCGTCTTTCGACAGAATTGCACTCCAAATTTAATAACTCCTCCCCCTGCCCCCAATATTCTCTTTTATTTCTATCCAGGGTAAACTAGTCAAATTGTTCAATTATCTTTATGCACGACGTCAAGTCACAAATACACGTGCTGCTGCGCACATGGCTGCTGCTTTCAAAGCATTGGCTGATAGTACTGTGATGGTAAGTTTTTCACTCTTTTTTATTTTACAAATAGCAAATGAATTTCTAAGATAATTTCGTAAATTTATTCCAGATGTGAATAGTGAAGTTTTGAATCGAAAGGATCATTATTCAGTATTCAAACCTGGTAGGCACTAAGAGATACGCTACACAAAACCTTATAGTTTGTACAAGGGCTTGGATACTGCTCAGACCCGAGGCAGGTGGTTATCTCAAGGAACCAACCCTCTCCTCGTAGTCTTTGATTTAACGTCATGATCAACAAGGCAGTGGGGCAGTGTTAAGAGATACGTCCTCATGGTTTCCGGTGACTAAAACAGGTTCATACGCTGTTTGATCCTTTCAGGAGACCTGCATGTCCACCAGTTTGGTTTGCCTTCACTCTTCCACTTTTGTGATGAACACTCCAACGGCGTGAAGGCGGTAAACAGGACTTACCTGGTTGACGGAGGCTATGAAACTATGACAGCATTTCGAGAAGAAGACCTGAAATCTACCCTTCCTTGGTTGTGACAGGTCGTTTATGGGACAGAATATACTTCCTAAATGTGTTTTGTAAATTTCTTAATCAAATGTGATTTATCGTGTAAAGATAAATGTTACTCAAACCTATTGGACATATGAACTACTTATAACTGTAAACACTGTGCGATTTATCGAAATAAAATCTTATCTATAATGGAATTCTACTCTGAGCTATTTGTAGAGCTGTGACTCATTGGTCTGGGAGCCTAACTTTCAACCAGTTGTTCACCATAGGGTCGAACTGCGTTCCACTTACCAGGTAGTATCACTAGTCCTCAAGCAGTAGACGCGTATCATTACCAACTGCATAGAATTGCAGGTGGTTGTTGAATAACAATATTTCATTTCTGACCTATTTGCATACAAAAAGTCCAATAAATATTTGAAATCTATGGATTATTGGCTTAAGCACTCAGTTTTCAGCTGATGGATCACGAGTTCGAGTCCTGCTCCACCTACTTTGGTCTGAGCAATTGGATAGTATTGTCTCAGGCCTCACACGATAAATGTGGCTCTCAGCTTGATACGGGAAAGTCTTTAACAAGTAATTGAGCTTGAACATAAACGAACACTTGTATCGATGTACTCGAAGTTAGGCAACTGAATAAATCGATAAGTTACATCAAAAAAGATATAATTGGTTTCATAATGTTGTATTGTATTTTATCACTTTACTGAATACATTTTACAACTGTTTAAATTCTATAATTTTAAAAACGTGACAACGTGTGAAAACATGTTTGTCTCTATCTTTGCGTTGTTATTACTGGTATGCACATGACCTAACAGGGAGAATTTCTACACCCCTCGCCTTAGGATAATCTAAAACAGGTACTAAATTTTTTTTGAAAACTTACTAAACTGAAGATAACTCGCATACATACTCAAATTTATGATGTTTAGAGACAAGATATGGCTCACTGGGTTAAGCATTTAACTTTTGGCAAGTGGGTTAAGAGTTCGAGTTCTGGTCACTCTGAGCAACTGGGTAGTATCATCAGCCGTCTTCACATAATAAGTGTGGCTCATTGCCCCTGATCCATGGAAAATATTTTCTGCATACCTGAGTACTAACTAGCTGAACTTACTAGCCTTATGGCGTATAAACTACCGTTAGAGATGGTTTATTCGAGTGGTGAAACTTCAGTTCCGGCGTTCAGCGAGACGTAGAAAGTAGCTAGACCAGATGTTGATATGATCAAATTTGTGGGCATTTCTCCATAAAACATGCCCTTGTAACTGACTACCGATAATGAAGAGTCTCTGGAACGCATTACAGTCCACTGGCTTAAACAGTCAACTCCCAACTGTAGGAATTCCTTTCGAAAACAAACTTCTCCAATTAATATATGTGTAACACCTGAGCACTGTGGTAGTATGTAATTCCATATTAATTTGTTTATTAGATATGTCACACAGTGAAACAGTATTATATAATGGATGACGTTTCAGGCAAGAGTGAAGAATAGATACCAAAATCAAATGACCTTGATCCGACCAATCAGGTGGCTCAGCATTACAAATGGTTGTTAGTCATAATCCTCGATGAAAATGTCTCCCAGATTTGGTTTTTGACTTCTCTTTGGAAAATGGGTTGATAGGAAGGCGTAAAAGATGCATGTGTAGGGATAATGACTCTGCGAAAGTATTGCCGGGCTGTTGTTGGTTATACAATCAGACGGAACCACTTTATATGAGGAAGTCTGTATAAGTTGGTAAGCCGTACATAATTGGTGATTTTTTTTTAAACACTTCTCGAATTCAAAGCTCTCCCTTAGTAATATACTGCGTATATGCAACCAGTATCTGCTACAGCTGGCGAAATAGAGAATACATTGATATGATATGTCTACAACCACTTCTATGAGAATCTGGGACCAGTTTCTGCAGCATATTAGAGATATATATGCCATATATGATCCATTTTTATTACACACATATATATCGTAGATACACTTCTTTGTAAATTAAGTTTGCCACTTTTCACCTAGAAGAATCTGATTGGCTGTTTCATGGTCGTCTGAAATTGGTGTCTATTCTTTACTGTTGCCACGTTTCAAACACAATTTATTGCTGTTCATAATCATATCAATTATAAGCATACAACTTTTGGAGAATAGTGCAGCTATACCAACCACTACATGCAATTACACACAACCAAACAGCATAGGATGATGGGATAAGATGACAGGTTTAAAATCTAATGTCAGAGAATGGAAGGAGAGATTGAGGGACAATGAAAGCTTTGTCTATCGAATCAACTGGTTGAAAATACGTGGAGTAGGAGTGATTCAACACCTCTTCCACATAGACATCTGGAAAATTCTACTACCCCTACCTACGAAGGTGAATAGGAAAGAATAAAGGAAACTATAAAACTCAAGTTTCGAAGTTTGATTATGTGATTTGTAATTGATGGCATGATTATGAACAATAAATAAATTGTGTGTGAAACTGTGTCATCCAGTAAATAACAATACTGTTTCACTCTGTGGTATATCTAATAAACAAATCAATATGGAATTACATACTACTCTGGCGAGTGTTACTGTTAAGGAAATGGTACAGCGTTGTGGAGGTGCATGGGAGACGATGTGAAAGGAACACAAAGAAACACAACATGAAGGCCAGGAGTGGCACAGCACGAAAGATCAGTGCAACTTGCGCGTTGAAGATAAGGCGTACACATAATTCGGTTATACAGAGATACAGATTACTAAATAAACATTCTTTTACCAAGTCTCTCTCTCCTCTTCTGCCGTTGCACTATCACAGTGCCCAAGTTTTACACATAGTTAAAATTAATATTAAACACTACATTCTCTTTTAATTTTATCTGTGTATATAAATATATTTATTGACTAAAATGTTTTAACTTAGGTCAGGGTAGCAACAGAGGTAATTACAGGTAGAGACTAAGTAGAAGTGGGGTAGATAATAATGCCATTTAAATTAGAACTGAAATTGAGCAATTAAGTTGGATGGCGTTGGTCAGGCCAATTAGCTACAGAGTTCGCAGAATTTGTACCCCGGACACCGTAGAAGATGAACTGGACAATCTCAAGAGAATCCTCGTCGAGAATTGTTACCCAGAACGATTTATTGCAAAATCTATGAATCCTAGGCCACAAAAGCCGCCCATGCATAGCGTCCCGAAGAAACCGCTCTACATAAACCTTCAATTCAATGGAGATATATCTGCGGAAACACTAAAAAATCGACTGTCGCGATCACTCAAGAAGACCTTCTTCGCAGCTGAACTACGACTAACTTTCTCCACAAGACCTATGATTCATGTGAACGTGAAGGATAAGCTACCACTGTTGGCCTCATCAATGTGTATTTATCAATTCACCTGTTCATATGGAGCCAGGTATGTCGGCCGTACCCAGCGCTCGCTTTCCAAGCGTATCACCGAACACTTACCAGCATGGTTTTACAAAGGAGAAAAACGATGTCCCCGCAGCTCCATCTTAGAACATCTGATAGGATCCGAACACCAAGCTACACCCCAAACAAACTTCAAAGTAGTCTACAGAGTAAGAAGTAGTCTTCCTAAAGGTGTACGAATCAGACTTCTTCAAACTGCAGAAGCAATGGCGATTCACTTGCTAAGCCCTGAACTCTGCATACAGAAGTTCGTTCAATCACTATACTTACAATGGACTTAATCTATCTTATTACTTGAAAAGTAAATTCTATCTACTCTTTTTTCCTTTTTTCTGTCTCTTCATTGGTATTATTCTGTCTTTTTAATCGTAATATTTTGCATTTTCAACTTTCTTGTTCTCTACCCCCACCCGATTTAATTTCTACACCTTACTACCACTGTCACTAACTTGATAAACGCTCAATTTCTAGTCATTTATGTTACGTCATCCAACTTAATTGCTCAATTTCAGTTCTAATTTAAATGGCATTATTATCTACCACCCACTTCTACTTAGTCTCTACCTGTAATTACCTCTGTTGCTACCCTGACCTAAGTTAAAACATTTTAGTCAATTATATTACGTTCTCTAAATTACTAAATATATTTATGTATATGTATTTTGCTTTCTCTTTTTGATAGATGCCTATTGTCGTTGAACCATCAGTTAATATGAATGATGAACTGAATTTAGCTATTCCATCAGAGTTTTCAGTTGATCGAGCAAACCCTAATCTTAATTTACGCCTCAAACACCTATGGACTGGTGTATATATTAAGCCTAGTGAATTCACTCTTAAAGCGCATGGTCTTTATAATCTTGTTAACAAGAAGATTGATGAAAATCAAGTTCTAGTTGGACCAACTGATCGTGGAGATTTTAAACAAGATGATAAAAAGTAAGAGGAAGAAAATTTATGCATACTAACTCAATTTTTTCGTCTTTAAAAGTGTTTTTCTATGTGGGGATCTCCGTGATCCCAGCTTCGATCATAAACTGATACATTGGTTAAACAAATATTTGAAACAAGAGAGTACTAGATATAGAGCTATTAGTCCTAGTTAAGGACTCTTCAGTAGTACTCACTCATGACCACCCACCCGGGGGAACGTAATCAGGATCTTCAGGTTATATGAAGTGAATCCATTGACCATTCAATCACTTGGACGGAATCTAGTGGCCCATGAATTCGTGATATGGCAGTCTTACCGTTGAGTATCCATCGTCATACCCAACTCCTCATTAGAAATCTATCTCATAATCAATCAGGCACTAATAGTGACCAGTGAAATTGCTTCAACCTGACGGTCAAGTCCTGGTTCGATATCATGGGTACGCACTACTACTACTACTACTAAAGAGTCCCAAAGTAGGATGAATCAGCTGTCCAGTACCCCTCAGTTCTCAGTGAACTACTTTCTGACTGATCTATCTGTGAGTTAATTTGAAATATCTAATAGTATATATCTAATAGTATTAAAGCACCACGAGATTACATTCTTCTAACTAACTGGTTTTAACATAGAACTTTGCATTGATGTGTGCAACAGTTCGAGTCGCCACACTCCATGTAGCACACAAAGCAACAGAAGAAAGTAGAAGGAACGCATAAAAGAGACAGTAAACAGAGGTGTGAGACAGAGGAATAGTTATAACGAAGAACAATATAGTTTCATTTGAAATCATAAGTCACAAGGAGTGGATGGATCTGAGCCAGCCATTGAGAACGATTTTGAGTCATATGACCAATTGTTTCCAGACACTGGTTTTTACCGTCCCGAGGACCCCAACCAGGAAGTCTACACCTTCCTGCGTGACTGGCTTAGACTAACTGTTGTGGATTTGATTGCCTGGTTCCATGTTTTTGTTTGACCTCCGCTAGCTCTTTTCCAGCCTGACCCTGTATCAGCTAACATCGCCCGCCGGTCGAGGAAGGCGATGACTAGGCATGTGTAACACATGTCCTAACCATCTCAGTCGATGTAATTTCACAGTCTCGTCGATTGATTTCCCCTCCTTACCTATCACTCGACGCCTAACGTCAATATTGCTCACCTTATTATACCACTTCACACATGAGATCGAACGCAGGCATCTATGATCAAAGACATCTAATCTCTTCATGTCTTCCACTGTCAATGGCTAGGTCTCGCTCACAGCCATAAAGGAGGACTGAGTGAACTGATAAGCAGGACACATGCTCTTTGGTCGATAACCAGCCGGACATCGTGTCTACGCCAGAGACGGAGTAAACTGGCATATGCGAAACTAGCCTTCTGTATTCGTTCTGAGATTTCGTCAGAGATCAACCCGTAATATAATGTAAGTGCTTAAGGAGTTGTCTATAGAAGGAAGAAGACGAAGAAGAGGAATAGAAGATTCACAGTTAAAACCGTCCAGCTTAGACCAACTCAACCGTATGAAAACGTGAGTGTTGTTGTTCGCTGTTTCAACTTAGTCGTATTCCCCGTTATCACTTCCATCTCATTATTTATTTTGTGTGTGTGTGTGCGTGGATATATTTTTCTCCCAACTCTTTTCCTTTCAGCAATATATTCCAAGTTTCTTTGCTTCCTGATCCGAAATCAACTGCTACACCGTCACCAGGATATTATGCATTGGAAATTAGTGCAGTCAGTAAAAAGGCTGGTGATCGTCGTAAACTGTTAGGATTAACTAATGTCCAGGTATTCTAATTTGATTATTATTATTATTACATGTATTTATGCATACTTCGGTGGGTCAAATGGTGGGATGCTTGCTAACTGCGTATGTGACCCGGGTTCGACTCTCGGTCGGCGACACATTGCTAAAAGCACTCTCTCAATATGAAAATCCTCATTGAGTCATATGAAAAAGAGAAGACGTCCAGCGAAGAGACTTTTTTCGACGGCGAATTCATTCACATAGCTGTACTATCGCATCTATATATAATTATTTGTGTGTGTGTGTACATGAGGTTTGTAAAGTTTAGATAATTGATCAGGTAATAAAAGAATGATCTAATAGGAGAACAAGGTTGATTAGACAGCAACTAAAGCAAGCTTGAGTTAGTTAGTAAGTTAGATGACGTAATATGATTGACTAAAATGTTTCAACAAGAACAACTTTCTTGTTCTCTACCCCCACCCGATTTAATTTCTACACCTCACTACCACTTTAATTGGCCTGACCAACGCTCAATTCCTAGTCATTTATGTTACTTCATCCAACTTAATTGCTCAATTTGAGTTCTAATTTAAATGGCATTATTATCTACTTGTAATTACCTCTGTTACTACGCTGACCTAAGTTGAAGCATTTTAGTCAATTATATTACGTCATCTAACTTACTAACTCAAGCTTACTTTAGTTGCTGTCCAATCAACCTTGTTCTTCTAGTAGATCATTCGTGTATTACCTGATTAATTATCTCAACTTTACAAACCTCATGTACACACACACACACACACACAAATAATTGTATGTAAATGCGATTGTACAGCTATGTGAATGAATTCGCCGTCGAAAAGAGTCTCTTCGCCGAGCGTCTTCTCTTTTACATGTGACTCTCTGAGTTGGCAGAAAACCCTATTCCATTAAAAATACATCACTGCTACTAAAACTTCAAGCGTGAAGCCGTTTGTTCCACTTGGGATGCGAAAGATGTATATATATATATATATATATATATATATATATATATATATACATATATGCGTCGGTGGCACAGCGATTAGGACGTACATGGTTAGGGGTTCAATCTCCGGCCGACGCACACCTGATATCAATGGTTGGTCTGCTAAATTTGGGCTATCGATATCTCATGCAAGGTAATACGTATTGAAGGCTATTAAGTTGTTAAATTCTTCACATCAGCAGTTAAGGTATCATGTAAATCTTTTCTTTAGTTTAAAATATGTGGATCTCTCTCTCTCTCTCTCTTCATGAATCTCGATTAACCCCCCCTCTCGATCAGCACTTAGTCACTCATAGTTATTAATCACTAGATACTATGAGATTATATTCCGTCATTTCCCATTCCAATGTGAGCGCAAGTAAGTGAAGTCACAAACAGATAAACAGTAGAGTTATGCGTTGGGTTGTAGTCGTAGTATTATGGATGGCTGGCGGGTTTCAGCATAGAACTCTGCACAGAAATGCACCGGTTCAAGTTACCATACTCCATGTAGCATACAAAGGAAAAGATTCAGTAGAACGATAATATGCAGAAATTCGACGGAGAAGGAATAATGGATCCAGGAGATGATAAGAAGCGAATGCGTCTGCACCAACCATTGGTTTTTAGCATCCCGAACCCCCACCCCCCAACCAGGACGTTTCCGTCTCCCCATATGGCTGGCTTAAACTAACTCTTATGGATTTCATGAACTGATACCATTAGCTCTTTTATAACCTGATCCGTCCCATGTTAGCTAACGTTGCCCGTCAGTCGAGGAAGGTGATGGCTGGGGGATGCGTGTGTAACACATGTCCTAACCATCTCTCTCAGTAGATGTAACTTCACAGCCTCGTCGATTGATTTCCCCTGCCAACCTGCCTAGCACTCGACAGATGCCTAACCTCAGTATTACTCACCCTATTATACCACTACCTAACATGGGAGATGGAACTCAGACACTTATGATCATCGACAGATAGCCAACCTTTTCATGTCTGTCACTTTTAATGTCCATGTCTCACTCACAGCCGGGCATAAAGCAGGACTGCTCTGTAGTACACACCTCCTTTTGTCGATAGTACGATATGGCATCTACACCAGAGATGACGTAAGTCGTTGCATTCAACTACAAAATCAACTTGGTAACATTCTTTTTGGTACATAGGTGGCCTCGGTATAATTGGGGCTAAGGTTCATCATTGGTTTATGAGGGCACTCCAACCATTGAGTCATCATAAGTTTAAACCCTATTTCACTTCCTATGGTTTCGGCAGCCAGATACTATCATTAATCCCCGTATAACAAAGTGTGGTTCATTGCCAACTTGTATAGAAACTCAGTTGGTTTTTGGGTGTAGCCAATTTTTTGCTGCTTATACAGTGATGATACCTCATCATCAGGGTACATCAGCATTCGAATCTGTGGCGCCTACAGGCCAAAAGGTGACTGTGTAGATATCAGTGATCTAGAAGCTCGGTTTAATATTTTCTTTTCTCCGGCGAATTCATTTTCTTAGCTGTACAATCGCAAATATATATACGTGTTATTTTTAATTAATTAATTATAATTTTAATGATTTACTTTATTCCAAAAACAGTACTTGTGATACAGAATGGAATTTTCAGCATTAATCACAATATTGTTGCATCTAATTTCTTCAAATTATAAATAAAAATTAATCACACAGAAAACTTTCCACATTTACAATAGAGGTAGTGTCAAAAACATGCAGCATATAAAATGGAAATAATAACAATAATAATGATAACAGCTAGGGTAATAATAATAATAATACAAGTGAAAATTCCCGTGGGCTTGTTTAACACAGTATTGGCAATGTGGTGTAGAAATCCTAGCATGTTAAAAATATGGAATATAATGTTGTCTTTACTTGATATGGTGAGGGGAAAAACCAAGATAACAGCAGTCGTAGAGATAAGTTGGTGCTAGCAATTATGAAAGTAAAACAAACCAAGAAGCAACAGGACCATAAATATAATAGAAATAATAAAAGTAAAACTTGAAGGTATAAAGGATGGATGGATGGAGGAAATTGTTTATTTACTAGGTGAAAAAAGGTTAGTCAGTTCTTGAATGACACTATTTTCATGACATAATATACGCGCCAAGTATGGTATCATAGCATTATTATACGTAGACGTGCGAGCATACAGTTTTCTGAAGTTACTTCTTGTTCTACCTGAGGCGGAGATGCAAGGTGAAAGCTGAGGGTAAAGCGGATGCTCCAAGTCAGACAAGATCCCTCTAGCAAATCTATTGCACGAAGTCAAGTGCCTATCGACAACGACGTTAACTATGTGGTCCACTGGGACACCACTCACCCTACTGACAGTCTTCAGCATTCTACGAATTGTGACATAGTTCATTTTAAGCAATCCAAGGGAAAGAATAAGGGTGAACAATAAAGAAGAATAGGTAGGATGCAAGAGTTTATGAACTGTAAGAGGAGGAGGGGTTGAGTTATGCCAGAGTGCCTTAACTTCTTAATGTAAAATGTCAGGCGGAATATTTTACTGGAGATTGCTAAGACATGGGAAGATCAGGAGAGATCGGAAGAGAGAATAAGTCCAAGATACTTAATTTCTGATTTGATTCCTATATCATTGTCGTCAATTTTACAACTGTCATGAGAATCGATGACTTCTTTTAACTGTCTTTTACATCTTAAGTTGAAATTAATAGTTTGACATTTAGAATGTACATTAAGTTTGTCAAACAAAATTACAATTGGTTAAGGCTATTTTAACTAAACAGGTGAAGATTGGTAATTGGAGTTACCTAATATAAAATCGGTCAAGAAAATTAGGTGTTAATGAAATCAGGGTAGTAACAAAGGTGATGAGTTGTCACAAACAGTTGTTAAAAAAGAAGTTATGTAGTAATATGAACAGTTTGATGAGTGGGTTTTACTCAGGATGTACATAGAAACAAAGTGGATCAGGTAAGAGTTCTGAATGATTACAAGAATAATAAGCAATTAAAGAACAGGCAAAGGAAATAAAAATATCAAATCAAAAAAGTTGTTACCATGTCTTTCTTTTTTGATTTGATTTTTTGATTTTAATGACTTAATTTTGTTTCTTTGCCTGTTCTTTAATTGCTTATTATTCTTGTATTCATTCAGAACTCTTACCTGATCCACTTTGTTTCTATGTACATCCTGAGTAAAACCCACTCATCAAACTGTTCATATTACTACATAACTTCTTTTTTAGCAACTGTTTGTGACAACTCATCACCTTTGTTACTACCCTGATTTCATTAACACCTAATTTTCTTGACCGATTTTATATTAGGTAACTCCAATTACCAATCTTCACCTGTTTAGTTAAAATAGCCTTAACCAATTGTAATTTTGTTTGACAAACTTAATGTACACAGACATACAAAATAACACGCATATATATTTGCGATTGTACAGCTAAGAAAATGAATTCGCTGGCGAAAAGAGACTCTTCGCTGAACTACGTATTTTGGTTTTTATTAATGCTTGAATTGGCATTATCCATGTGCGTCGGTGGCACAATGGTTATGACTCTCGCCGACCATTCACATGGTCTGAGGTTCGATCCCCTGCCGACACAAACACCTGATATCTATGGTCGGCCTGCGAAATTTGGGCTACCGATATCACATGCTGAAAATTTCATACTTGTACCAAAAATACAGTGTGGAATGTAGCTGTAATAAAAAATAAAAAATAAATAAATTAATTAATTAATATTCTCTTTCACTGCATAATTTTAATGTTCTGATAACACATATTACATATATACGTAATCACAACTATTATGGTACACGATGAGATTTTATGTGTGTGTATATATTCAGATTGTGTTATGTCTATGAAGATGTTTTATTATTAATTGATTATCGTTCAGTCCTAACTAGACTCTAGTTTATTTTGAAAATTAATGTCTTTTCTTTTCTGCCTTTTTTCTTTCAAATAAAGGTTCCTTTACGAGTAATCACTGAAGCTAAGGTTGGTCAGACTACTGTAACAATAATGGACACTGCTCATGAACGTCATATTGCTGATATCAGGTATTGATTTTTATACATTACTTGAAGTTTAAAATCCAAGTCAAAAGAAAATGGTCAATACAGATGTAAAGATGGTTATACTTTACTTTTTTACTTTACTTCGGCTATCTCCTACGGGAGGATGAGCCGGCTTCATGAACATCTCGAATCATCGCTGCCCAGGCGCGGTGATCTGATGCAAGGTTTTGCGACAGGGTTGTCCAATTCTTGTTCCACAGACGGAGTTCGTAGACGGTTTGTAGCCCCAGCCCAGGCACTCCATATCAGCCTTGACTGTACCAAGCCATGTTTTCAGCTGTCCACCCCTGCGACATCGCCAAGATGGAAATGGCGAGAGCTAATTGTAAGAGGGTTCATGAAGTTTCATGGGAATTTGGTACGAGTGATGTCCCCAGCATCGCTCGGCCTTTTGTTTGAGAGTGCAGCTCTAGCCTTTACACAGCCAAGTGTGACCTACAAGGCAGTAGGAGTGGAGTAGGGAGTCCACTATCCATTGGCAGCCGGTGACCGGAGTTCGGTTCATACGCCTTTTTGAATGGGGCCAGACATCCAGGGCATCCAATAAGCCCTTTGTCCATACGTCTGCCGGTGAGCTCCAGTGAGCTTCATACGCCAGTCGTTGGAGGTTTGGAATCAGGGTTTAGCCATCTCCCTTAGACTGTCATCCAATGGACAGTCAACCCGGTGAAGAGCGCTGGGCATCCGCTTTTGCTCTCTCACTTCGGTGAAAAACACCTCCGCCACGTGAAGGCAGTGAGTAGGACTTCCTCAGGAGAGGCTATGTAAGACGCCTGGTCATATGGGGGCATTTCAAGAGGTGTATGGAGGGGTGGCCAACCCGCAGCGCAAGGCACCCACCCGCGACCATCCTGAGGCTTTGGAGTGGAGGCTAAAGATGGTTATCGGGAGACGCAATTCTATCACTCACTCACTCATGGAAAATTTAAATCATTTCACTTTATGCTAAATATTGCGCTGAAGATGTCGTCCAGAAAGACGACGAAAGCTCCGCAACTAAACCAACCAGCTCAGAGAACACTATTAATTGCAAACGCATATGACACTTATCACCACAAGAAGTCAAATTAAAACTCACCTTTCTCTATTCAATATATCAATAGTGACAAGATCAGCTCTAGTCAAAGTTTGATTAATTAACGTTTGTTTTAAGCCTAAATGTCCATCTATATGAAATGATGAAAAGTAGTGAACTATAGTAGGAATAGCACTTTAAAAGACTCCTAATCAAGGAATTTACGTGAAACCGATTGTGACTTATCAGTTATGATTGATTGTATGGTCGAACACCGCCTCCTCTAGTTTTTATTAGTTGCTCAACCACTATTGCTGAAGAAGAAATAGATTGATTGGAACATTTTCTAAGACTAGATTCTATAATGTAGAAAGGTAGCTCAATAGGTCATGGGTTCTAACCCACCCCCCTACTCCAGCCTGGGTCTTACATGGTGGTTGTGGTGGTATCACCAGCCGTCATGTAATAAGTATGGCCTGGCACATGAAAAAACAACCTTTTCCATGTATCGTAAAATATTCAATAATCTAAATATGCTCTTTCTCTCTCTCTCTCTCTGTGTCTCTGTAGTTTAACACCTGGTCAAACACATAAAGCATCAACAGCTTCTGGTGCTATCAATTTAGATGTTGGCCAACAAATAACACTTGATTTACATCTTACAGATGGTAGTAGTAGTAGTCATACCCAGTTGACAGCTCATCAGGTGTTTGTTCAGTTAACGCATCAAAAAACTCTACAAGCAATTACCTATACATGCAGTGAAATAATTAAAGACAAACAGACGGGAAAGAAAAATTATCAACTATTCCTTGTAAGTTTTTATTATAAATTAAAAATTTTCTCTTGATGATTGTTTAAGTCAATTTCTGATTTTCCCTGGTTGATTGATCTCAATTGAACCGAAATGAAGAAAATAACTGTCTGTCTGCCTGTTTTCGACATAGAACTTTGCACAAATGTGCGGAAGTTCAAGTCGCCACATTCCGTGTAGCACGCGAAGCAAGAGAAGAAAGTACAAGAAAAGCATAACAGAAACAGTGAGCAGAGGGTGAGACAAAGGAGTAATAAAGAAAAACAAAAGTTTCCTTGGAGATCATAAGTCACAAGGAGTGGATGCATCTGCGCCACTGTGAACGATTTTGAGCCATGTCACCAATTGTTTCCAACCATAGATTTTTACCGTCCCGAGGACCCCAGCCTGGAAGTCTACACCTTCCTACGTGGCTTAGACCAACTGTTGTGGATTTCATTGACTGATGAGGCCAAGTTTTTGTTTGACCGCCGCTAGCTTTTTTCCAGCCTGACCCTATATCCGCAAATTTTGCTCGTCGAGGGAGGCGATGGCTTGGCATACGTAACATGTCCTAACCATCTCAGTCGATGTAGCTTCACGACTTCGTCGATTGATTTCCCCTGTTTACCTAGAACTCTACGCCTAACCTCAATGTTGCTCACCTTATTATGCCACTTTACACGGGAAATAGAACGCAGGCACCTATGATCAAAGACAGCTAGCCAGGCTTTTCATGTCTTCCACTCTCAGTGGCCAGGTCTCTCAACCATAAAGGAGGACGGAGCGGACTGATGAGCAGTACACCCGCCCTTTGGTCGATAGTCGAACATCTCGTCTACGCCAGAGTCGGCGTAAACTGGCAAATGCGAAACGAGCCTCCTGTATTCGTTCTGAGATTTCGTCAGAGATCAACCCGTTGGCATTGGCTGATGGTACTTCCCAAATAAGTGAAGCGGTCAACGTGCTCTACCACTTCACTTCCTATTTTTAAACTAGGCGTCAATGTAGTCCAGTCCTGTAACATCATCTTGCATTTGGCGGGAGCGAATCGCATGCCAAACATTCGTAGATTGCGGCTCAAGGTGTTTAGAAGACTCTGCATTTTGTCAGCGTCTTCGCCTAGAAGGACTATATCGTCTGCATATTCTAAGTCAACGAGATTATTCCCCGGTAGCAGGTCAATGCCTGAGTCGCTGAAGAAAATAACAGACAGATTCAGCGGAGGAAATGCTTCTTTATCGACGAAATCATCCTCTTTCAGAGGCTGACTGTACAGTCGTATTTATATTTACCAAAAATGTATAATAGCCTATTATTGAGTAATAGGCAGTGGGTGACATAATTGATATAATTACTCAGAAGTGGCTTTAGAAGTAAAAAAAATAATAATAAAAGTCATAAATTACGTGGTACTCAACGTGGCACAAAGTTAGAAATTTAATAAGGTTAAAATTGCTATTGAGTGAGAAGAAAGGTGTTGGTATTTGAGTATCAGTTGATCAAGTAAGCGTGAAGAGGGTGTAAAAATGTAGAAATGCAAATTTTTTTTACAGGGAACAACTAGTGAAGAGGTTAAGACCGAGGGAAAATAAGAAACTGGACAAACTTTTCCTGTATACAGAGTTCGGGCTGGTATTGACGAATTGTTAGCCGCCCCTCCACCGTACACAAAAGCCGAAACCTGACACCCTTTCTACCATTTGGCCTCACTTTGTAGATGATCTTGAAAGTCGACTCTGGTAGAGCTGCGTCGTGGCCTGAGTTCACCAAGTGCCCGAGAATTGAGCTAGTAATCGTCTTGCGTTGTCCTTTTGCCAACCAAACCGGATAGTGTTCAGAGATGCGTTTGGAAAGTGTGCACTTTGTGAGGTCAGTGTAACTAACTTCGCAATAGTAAGTGAATTTATAAACACACATTGAAGTCGTCCGTCCAAAGCGTTACTTTATCCTTACCACTGCTGTATGTATGTAAATTTAGTCTACCGTTATACTTGGTATTACTGTTTTCGACCAGATTGAAGATTCCTTGGCTAACACCTTTCGAGGAGGTAGATATTCAGAGCTGCTTACGGGATAATAAAGCTGCTGGCGAGTCGGTAAATGTCCAAGATGGGAAGGTGATGGCGCTGGAGAAAGTGGCTTTAGATAACTTGAAGTGTGTGCAGGTGAAGAAAAAGACCTGGAAGTTGAGTGGTGGAATGTCCGCTGTTATACAGTGGCTTCAAGTTGCATAATACGCATCACACTGTGCACACTATCTTACATTCAGCTATGAATAACCACATTTACTAGTGTCTCATTAATCCAACCCACCGGGACACGAGTTCGAGTCCTACCCCTCACATATTGAGGTTTGAGTAACCCTCACAACAGTGTAAATGCCTCTGGTAGCTACCTTACTTTGAATAAGTGAAGTCGCTTTTGTCACATTGTTGCGTAGTTTATCTTCGATCCCTACAGGAGATGGGGATAGCTTCAATTTTAAAAGGGATTTATTGATATCAACTACAAGAATATCTACATCACGTTGAAGTTAGCACTGACTGAATATGTATTAACCTGAATGAAAGCTTCACGGTTAAACGAACCATCCAGCTCAAAGAAAATAACATCACCAGAAAGCATGTACAATTTTCTGAATTGTCAAATTATTGACCTCGATTGTTTTATACGTGATAATACTGAATTTGGGGTAACTTGAACACTAAATAATATTACGACTGATCACTCGACTGCTTACTATCTCTGTGATGATGAGTAAAGCGCAAGACGTTAACTGAGCGGATTTATTTATTACTCCATGAAAAAGGCACTCTGACTAGAAATTACACTTGATTATGTATCTTTCATTCTCCTGCCTTTCAAATGGGCTTGTGCTTTAAAGTTTCACTAGGCGGATGAGATTGTTAGCGTAGCGCACGAGCACAACTTTCCCTCTTTACTGGCTAAGCGATGTTTAAGAGTGTGTTAGCCGGTGTGTGTGTGAGTGTGGGGGGGGGTCGAACCTTGGACTACGTGAGACGTGTTTGGCCAACATTATGCAGCTATCTAATAAATTACTGGTTAACATGTACTAATGAATACTAACTAGCTTGACCTATAATCTACTTAAGGGCAAAGTTAAACTTTAAGCACCACTAACTAACTACCAATCAATCAGCAAATGGCTTCGAAAGCACCAATCATGTGAAGGAGGCATTTTTGTGTATGGAATACACATCATATAAACTGTATAAAAGTGTTACAGAGGATAGCTGGCTCTCACATGGGGTAAAAATAGTTCTCAGTTTTAGGTTGGTGTATCAACAGAGAGAGAGCATAATTCCATTGTGGGTAAAATTTATTTTGATAAAATTTCATAGTGTTATACAGCAATATTTACTGAGCAATAGACTGTGCTCGAAACATGGTCATCAGTAAAATATTATTTACTGTTTATAACACTGTGAGATTTTATCGAAATGAATTTTATCCTTAGTGAAATTAAACTATGCCACAGTGTACAAGTCCTATTTAGGTCTTCTAACCCTAACAACCCTAATCTCTCCTGAACCTAATTCTAACGTGAAAATATCCCCAAAACTAACTATAACCTAACTGTCGTCTTTGTTAGATTAACTTAACCCTAACTTGTCCTTGGCTTAAAGTGTAACTACTTAATCTTTCACAAACACCGAAGCTGAAACTTGCCAGATATCATATTTTTTTAATAACATAATAATACTTTGGTGAGCATATTTTATTGATGATGACATTATTATTATCATCTGCCGGCCTCCACTAACTTGCTCACTGAGCCTTTCAAGGTCATTGGCGCGGTCGCACTCCATTGGTAGGTAATTAGTGGTGTTTAAAGTTTAACTTGGCCTACTTAAGGTTTAAATGTCTGATTTGCTGATCACGAGGATAACACTGATTCGTAATATCTCTCTCTCTTCACCTGTCCAAACAGTCATGTAATTATTCTTATTGTTCTTCTTATTTTCTTTCTTTCTTTATTTATTATTTCAGGATCCAGATGCCTCTGCAGCTGAATTTGACTACCTTTCAGGAGTATATAAAGCGGAATTAATTGTTGGCGATTCATTGATTAAAACACCATTGATTTGGCATATGGTAAGTGTATTATTTATATTTATATCATTTAAAATTCGAAACCTGGCAGTGGGTGCGTACTGTGAAGAGTCTCAAACTAGGCTAACGAAACAGCTGTCTGTCTATCCAGTACTCCCAGATGGTTTTTCAGTGGTTCTCTAACCTATGTCAGCTCATGATGAAATCCTGTAACTAATCAATCAAATCCCTAGAAATCAATACTTTTGAATATCAATGAGATGCACACTAGCAACTGAGGTTCCAATGGGTAGTCATGACCAGTAGGGTACAGCAGGTTGTGGGTGTGAGGACAAATACTCGCCACGGATGACGTTGGCTAGTGTCAGTCGCGCTATGCCGTGAATTGTCAGAAGTTGGAATTCATGGACTGGTCATTAAATTGGGTCCTAGTGGGTGAATGGTATACGAGCTCACTAGCCTTGCAACTGAAGGTGCTGGGTTCGAGCCCTGGCGGTTATTTTTCAACGCCTTATTATGGTCATAAATACTCGAGTTGATTAACTTTTTTATTTATTTATTTTTCTTTTCTTTTTTCAAAAATCCAGTTTGATTTAGATCTTCATTTTGTTGGTGAAGCTGGTGATGAAACTAAACGACGTATTGCTCAAGCTACTGATGTTTCACGTCAACAGTCATCTTCACCGGCTGCGCTGAAACGTGCCTCCAATCCAAATGCTATCATTGGTAGTGGACCGACATCAGCAAAACCAGAAATTGAACATATGTTCCGTGCCCCGGAGAAAAGAGCTCCACCATTTTTAGCTTTATCATTTACTGTCCTGTGTTTACTTCCATTACTTGGATTACTTATTGCTGTAAGTTTAAAAAAATATGTAATAACCAGTTCTCTGTTTTGTACTTCAATTGGTATTTAGTTAGACATAGCTGATTAATGAGATTACCAGTTTCTTAAAATGTGATAGTCCTCATGTGTGTTATTTCGTGTTAAAGTGGTGTTGGAGATGGAGGGAATCGACAAAGAATGCCTGCTTCGTCTCTAGATCTTGTGTTTATTGGTACTTGATACAGTAAAGCGTATATATTTGCAACCAGTGTTACCAATTCTCTCACCCACCCCCACCCCCAACTGAATGACCAGTGAATATAACACGTATAATTAAATTTTTGATTTTCCCGTCAATTGATTGAACCGAAGTGCTCGGCCTCAGGTTGACATGTCGTTGACCTCTTGTGCAGATGCTTCGACGGTGTCTGGGCATTTAATTAGTATTTAACCCCACCTGGCCAACAGGTTGAATCTGCAAAATTCACCCTGAGGGTGTCAGGAGATGCCACAGCTAGTTCACGAGGATTAGCTGGCGTAGGGATAGCTTTGAGTACTAGGGCAGAAAAGACATTGCTTGACTGGATCCCGGTAGATAGCCGAATGTGTGCTGTCCGCCTGAACGGATCAGTAAGAAGGAGGAAGGACTGCACTACTCGCCGATGCCTTTTCGTAATCTCCGCCTACGCCCCCACTGACTGCAGTTCAGATGAAACGAAGGATGAGTTCTACCAAAAGCTGTCTAGTTTGGTGAGAAAGGCTAAACGCTCAGACATAGTCGTTCTAGCTGGTGACTTTAACGCTCAAGTAGGGAAATTGTGTCAATCTGAGAAGGATGTCGGTGGCACCTATGGAGTTCCGTGCCAGCGAACCGACAACGGTGACCGTCTCCTACAGTTCTGCTCTGATAATCATTTGTTTCTTGTAAGCACTAACTTCAAACACAAGGAGAGACACTGTTTGACTTGGAGACCCCCTTCATCAAACCAACGCTGGACACAAATAGACCACATAGCAATAAGCTATCGTTGGCGTGGGTCGGTAGGAGATTGTCGCTCCTTCTGGAACACGTGCGTAGATACCGACCATGCACTGGTCCGCGCTCGGGTGTGCTTACGACTGAACGGACGTAGGAAACAGCTGGCGGTAAAACCATCACGTCCCCAGCTCGATCAGGAAACTAAATCCGTATTTCAGGAAGAACTAGCTAAACACATATCTGTGTTCGACAGCTGTGCTCACCCTGAAGAAGCTTGGAAAAATATCCAGGCAGCCATAGATACAGCTGTAAAAGCTGTGAATAAGGTAAACCCAAAGGTGAGTAAAAACCACTGGATCTCCACCGCCTCATCCGAACTGATAGATGCTAGAAGACTTATTCCGGCGAGCTCCGAATTCAATGAGGAGCGAAAGCTGCACAAGAGGAAACTTACGAAAAGTCTCCGCAAGGACCGTGAACAGTGGTGGGCGACAAAAGCCAAAGAGATGGAGAAAGCTTTGAGGATAGGCAACACCAGGCAACTCTTTGGACTCATCAGGGAAACGGGTGGGAGAAGACAAATCATTAGTGAGACAATCTCGGAAAAAAATGGCACTATAATTAGCTCACAGGATAGACGACTGGATCGTTGGAAAGAGCATTATGAGGAGCAGTTTAATTTGCCCACAGCCACGCTCAACCTTCCGAGCATCCAACACCTCCCTGAATGGGATATAGACACAGGTCCTCCGTCACTAACTGAGGTTACTAAAGCTGTCACCAATCTGAAACTAGGCAAAGCAGCGGGACCTGATGGAATGACTCCAGAGGTATTTAAGTACGGTGGAGACAGCTTACTGTCCGGATTAACTGAGGTACTAGGCAGCGTCTGGGAATCAGAAGAAGTCCCATCGGGTTGGTGTAAGTCACTGATTATCCCCATATACAAGAAGGGAGACAAGTCTTCCTGTGATAATCACAGAGGGATTAGCTTGACTAATATAGTATCTAAAGTCTTAGGCTCAATAATCATGCGTAGACTGAGTGGTGCTCGGGAAGCACAAACACGAGAGAGCCAGGCAGGCTTTAGACCAGGAAGAGGGTGTATTGATCATATCTTCACCCTCCGACAGATTCTAGAACATAGGCATTCCTACCGGCGTCCAACAGTCATTATATTTCTTGACCTAAAGGCAGCATTCGACTCTGTCGATCGGGAAGTTCTCTGGAGATGCTTGGCTGTAAAGGGAATTCCAAGAAAATATATTGCACTGATTAAGGCACTCTATTCGTACTCATACAGCCAGGTGAGGGCTTACGGCGAGCTGTCATCTGAACTGATGACGACCAGTGGTGTCCGTCAAGGATGCCCATTATCTCCTTTTCTATTCAACTTCATCATAGATGTGTTAATGGACTTAACCCTAGGTGACTTCAGCGACTCAGGGATTGACTTGCTACCGGGAATAATCTCGTTGACTTGGAATATGCAGACGATATAGTCCTTCTAGGCGAAGACGCTGACGAAATGCAGAGTCTTCTAAACACCTTGAGCCGCAATCTACGAATGTTTGGCATGCGATTCGCTCCCGCCAAATGCAAGATGATGTTACAGGACTGGACTACATCGACGCCTAGTTTAAAAATAGGAAGTGAAGTGGTAGAGCACGTTGACCGCTTCACTTATTTGGGAAGTACCATCAGCCCCAACGGGCTGATCTCTGACGAAATCTCAGCACGAATACAAGGGGCTCGTTTCGCATTTGTTAGTTTACGCCGACTCTGGCGTAGACGAGATGTTCGACTATCGACCAAAGGGCGGGTGTACTGCTCATCAGTCCGCTCCGTCCTCCTTTATGGTTGTGAGACCTGGCCACTGAGAGTGGAAGACATGAAAAGACTAGCTGTCTTTGATCATAGGTGCCTGCGTTCTATTTCCCGTGTAAAGTGGCATAATAAGGTGAGCAACATGGAGGTTAGGCGTAGAGTTCTAGGTAAACAGGGGAAATCAATCGACGAAGTCGTGAAGCTACAAAGACTGAGATGGTTAGGACATGTGTTACGTATGCCAAGCCATCGCCTCCCTCGACGAGCAATGTTAGCGGATATAGGGTCAGGCTGGAAAAAAGCTAGCGGCGGTCAAACAAAAACTTGGCATCAGTCAATGAAATCCACAACAGTTGGTCTAAGCCACGTAGGAAGGTGTAGACTTCCAGGCTGGGGTCCTCGGGACGGTAAAAATCTATGGTTGGAAACAATTGGTGACATGGCTCAAAATCGTTCTCAGTGGCGCAGATGCATCCACTCCCTGTGACTTATGATCTTCAATGAAACTGTTTTGTATTTCTTTATTACTCCTTTGTCTCACACCTCTGCTCACTGTTTCTATTATGCTTTTCTTGTACTTTCTTCTCTTGCTTCGCGTGCTACACGGAATGTGGCGACTTGAACTTCCGCACATTTGTGCAAAGTTCTATGTCGAAAACAGACAGACAGACAGATTTAATTGGTGGATGGTGACAAGCAGTGGAATCCAGGATGCGCATTTCGTCCTATTTAGGACTCGTCAGCTGGATGTATCTGCATTTCTCAGTTCCCACCCGCGTCATGGATTCCACTGCTAGTCACCATCCACCGATTAAATACTAATTAAATGCCCAGACATCGTCGAAGCATCCGCACAAGAGACCGCCGACATGTCAACCTGAGACTGAGCACTTCGGTCCAATCGATCGACAGGAAAATCAAAAATTCAATTAAATAATTAATATGACCCGTTGCACAAGAGGTGGCGCTCTCGTGGCCCAAGTGGTTTAGTGGATAACGCTTTGCCGTTTGAAACTATGGGTACTGGGTTCGAGCTTCGGTGGGAACATCATCACTCACTGAGAAATGCAGGCACATCCAGATGACGAGTCCCAAATAGGACGAAATGCGCTTTATCCTGTATTCCACTGCTAGTCACCATCCACCGAATAAATAACACGTATAGTTTCAAATTCTTGTTCTTCGGGCAATTATTCTGTAAGAGTCGAAATGTACCTCTCTTTCTCTTTCAGACACACACAGACAGTGATCCTCTGCATGTTTCATATCAATATGACTAGTACGAACTTTGTTGTTTGTTAAAAAAACATGTTAGTACTATTGCCGCCAGTGTACTTCAAACTTTTATTAACTCAATTACTTGCAAAGTTCGTTGTTGGTTCATACAACAGGTAAAATTGATTCACTGCGGTTGACTGTTATAGGCTCTTCTATATATTATGGGTGAATAATTTATTCTGCATATACTATTCTATCGTTTGTAATAGAAATCCAAATATACCAAGCATACTATTATTATTATTTATTTTCTGTGTCGCGGATGAGACATAGGGTTTCAGCAGGACATCTCCATCGTAATCGGTTCTCTGTCACTACAACTATACCCACATGCTTTCATCACCTCATCATATAATCTTCTTCATATAGTATTCGGACGCCTGCCCAACCTGTGGCTTCCCACTTGGGTTTTACTTGAGGGGATGAATGGCGTGTGATATCTATTTTCTAACATATCTTTACACAAATAAGAAGAAATATTTTGGTGGTAGCATTTCTTTTTTACCGATATGGTATGGACTAGATTCCGTTTTGCCGTATGAAAAATTCTTGGATAGCAATTAATTAGTTAGCTGTCAGCTTGTGAACCACCTGCTTATTGTACAAAGGTTGGTGTTACTACTATCCATTTTGCCCTGGAATGCATTGTGTTGCTAAAAGTGAAGTGAGTCAAGCGAGACATCTCTCAACACAACAACCCCAACCATTTGCGATTTTCCATGCAGTTGAGAATAATCCACCTACTCTGTGTGAATGCTAGTGTAACAACAGAAGACAAGGGCCAGGCCAGGCAACAGATCGTTTAATTATGAAAATCAACGTGAATTTATATATATATATCCTGTACATTATTATAGCTTATGCAAGTAGACAAACTCAGGCTTCTGATTGGTTGTTTCGGGATTCCGCGAAAAATAGAGTTCTCTATCTGCGAATCATATTTTGCCACGTTAAGTCTGCTGTGATTGATTGTTGAATCAGCCTTGCAAATATTTTCTCACGGTCTGCTTTCACCACACTAGTAGTAATAATGCCACCTGGCTGTCGTCGTCTAAACATCAGTTCTCCGGGTGAGGTTCGAACCACTGGTTGAAAGTCGACACAGCTTAAACCCCAATATGAGTTAGTCACATCTTGAGTACACTTTGTTAAGGTATACAGTTAGTTTTCTTGCTTTTTGTACGTGTCTCTCCGAATAATAATAATAATAAAAATGGCGTATTTTTCTTTTTACCTTTTCTCTTTCCCCTATTCAGTGGATGGTTATCGGTTTCAATGTGTCCAACTTCAAAGTTTCAATATCAAATATTGTTTTCCATGCTGGTTTAATATGTAAGTGTGTATTCAGCTTTCCCCCCGCCCCCATATCAATTGAATTGTAAGATGAATTAATCATGTGCTCTCTAGGCTTTTGACGTTTGATGTCACCTAGAGTTGTATGTCTTTTGGGTGGTAGTACTTCTGTGTATTGAAATAAACCTGTAACCTGCTAAAATTACCAGATACCATAAAGTTGCTTTATTGCTTCACATTTCATTATCTTGAGTGCAATTTTTCGCGATAAAAGCTCAAGTTTCAAAACTAAATGAACTGTTTCATTTGAACTCAACTTCAGGGACAGTTTTGTCATTTTTTTAGGCTATGGAGTGGGTGGGATTCGAGGCCAAGACACCCACGGACTGTAAGTGATTAAGACGACGGTGAGTCACATCTCACCGAATGAATGTTGCATATTTTCTCTATAAATAATTTACACAATACACATGGGAGTTACCGTCTCTCCAGTGTGTATTACGTTATCGTCATTAGATCTAATAGTGTCTTCTAAGCTATATTACTTAGTATGTACTATTTACAATTAGATATAATTTAAAACAATTAGTTCCCTTTATGAATTTAGATAAAGCAATAAGAAGACGTAATTTGTCTGAATCGTGTAATGTATTTGCGCGCACAACACATTTCGAACAATCTGATCACACACACACGGACTTGTCATAGGACTGTATATATATGAAATTAATAAAGAGGTAAAAGGTGAGAAAATAAACTTAGGTCAAGTTGAAACGGACATATTGAAGGTGAAAATAACAATGAAGACCACCAAACCAAATAACAGAGGTAATAGTACATATACCCTGGCTGGTATCAAAACAAAATTTACCAAGGAAGGTTTGGTGTGATGACGAATTATTGCTTTGAGTGCATAAAGGTGGTTTAAATATCCTAACTCTTAGCTTCCACAAACTTAAAGATACGCCCCAAACACGTTTTATAGATAGATAGGTTTGAAAGATCTGTTAACGTCAATTTAATGTTCTGTCTCTATAATATGTTTCGCAATAGAGGAGCCAGGTCTCCTGTTCTCGCCGTTAATAAGTTCTGAAGATTCTATTTGCTTCTGGAGCCATTTAGAAATACTCTCTAAAGCCAGCCCTTACTTGCAGAGATCGATGAGTCCTCCCTATATATGTGTGTCCACACATACATTCAAGTTGGTAAATACAGTGGGATGTGACATCATATTAGCTACATACAAAGTCTTTTTAACAGAAGCGTTCAATCTTTGTCTAGTTATCAAGCTGCTGTGGCGCCCCCTATAGGGTAGCTTGATGCACACATCTTCCTTAGGGTCGAGTTGTTGAGTGGGTTTATACCTCCTGATGAATTTGTCTGGATAATTGTTATCAAACAGAGTTTGTGTCAACTTTCTTTCTTCATCATCATCGTCATCATCATCAAGTGTGTCGGTCTTCAGTGCATATTCGTTGCATTCTACTGAAGAGGCATCTTACTAAGGGTCTTTTCTACCGAACAGGGCAGAAACTGTGTAGTAATTAAGATACTGTCCTGTCCAGGTAGGTTTTCCATAAATAGATTTTCTTATTGACCCATCAAGCTGTCAACGAAGCAATATGTCTAGGAAAGATAAACAATTATCTTCCTCTTCTACAGATGTAGGTGATATGCTATTCTGAACTCCATTCATTCAATTTAAAATTGAGGTAGCAGAACAAGACTTATCACTGATGATTACAATATCATCTACATACCTTTTGATAAATATAATTTTTAAATATAGCGTTAGTTGGTTCTGTGTTACCCTAGAGTTCTCTGTCTAGGAAAGATAGACTTTGCACAGAAGTGCAGCAGTTCCAGTTGCCATTCTCTCTCTCTCTCTCCATGTAGCACACAAAGTCAGAGAAGAGACAGTAAGCGGAGATTCAAAAGGAAGACAGATAATAAACAGAAGTGTGATTGAGGGAAAGCGAATAGTAAGTGATATGAAAGAAAGAGATTTATGAGATATAACAAATCACAAAGAATGAATGCATCAGCCCTAGTCATTGAGAACAAGGATTCTGAGCTATATCACCAATTGTCTCCAGCCTTCATTGGTTTTTACTTTCCCGAAGACCCCATCCAGGAAGTGTACACCTTCCTACGTGTCTGACTGGCTTAAACTAACTGTTGTAGATTTCTTTGACTAGTGCCATATTTTGGTTTGACCTCCGCTAGCTCTTTTCCAGCCTGACCCCTATGTTAGCTAACATTGCCGGTTGTGGAGCAAGGCGATGATTAGGCATCCGTCACACATGTCCTCACCATCTCAGTCGATGTAGCTTCATACCCTCGTTGATTGATTTCCCCTCCTTACCCAGCACGCGATGTCTAACCTCAATATTGCTCACCGTCGATGAAAGCGAATGTGTATGTTAGTGGAGGAAAGCCACTGACGAAGACACGCAAATAAGGTGATGACAACACCCCAAGAAAACTCCAATAAGCAACAGACCACCAAATATGCCTAATACAACACAATGTTCATTGTATTTTAGCTACAATAAATATTAGATATATCGTCATCATTAAGCCTTGAAAAAAATTCACCCCTCACCCCCTAGTATGTTTTTTCTTATCAATAAAACTTACAGGATTTCATCATGAGCTAACATCAGTTAGAGAACCATTGGAAAACCTAGGAGTACTGGACAGCTGTTTCATCAGCCTAGTTTGGGACTCTTCAGCAGTACGCAACAGGTCGCCGAAGACATTGGCTAGGGGTCGCGCTATGTCGCGAATTGGCAGAAGTTACAATTCATGACCTGGCCATTGGATCGGGTCCCAGAGGCTTAATGGTCTACGAGCTCGCCTTGTAACCAGAAGGTCCTGGGTTCGAACCCCGTTGGGCGAGTACTGCTAAAGAGTCCCAAACTGGGACGAAACAGGTGTCCAGTACTACCAGGTTTTCCAATGGTTCTCTAACCAATGTCAGCTAATGATGAAATCCTGTAACAAATCAATACTTGAATAAAACTTAATCCTACTAAATGTTTTTCTAATTTTTTTTTCGCTTTACAGCTATTTTTTATCTCTACTTCGTCTATTGGTGTCGACTGGATATGTTTACAACACTGGGTTATCTAAGTATATTAGGTATACCCACATTCTTAGCTGGTAATTCAGTTCTTCGAGCACAAGTGATTGCAAAACAAACCGCCGGTGCTGGTGGTTCGTCTTCTACCTCTGCTGCTGCTACAAATCTTCATACTGCTAATGTGAAAAAGTGATTGAAACACGTGTGACAATTTTTTGTCATCATTATTGTCATTTGTCATTATCTTTGCTATCCCGTGTCCATTTTCTTTTCCTTTTTCTCCTTGTGTGTTCATATTAGTTTTCGATACTTTGTTCGCTTAATTAACTGACAGTCATGGCACTTTTATGTACGTTAGTGCGTGTCTACCTGCGTGTGTGTGCGTGCATATGAGTTTTTATAGGTGTGTGTGTGTGTAAAATAGAAAACAAAATGAAATACTTATCGTGTTTATTTTGTTTGATTATTTTTCCGTCTGTCTGTCTGTGTGTTTTCGAAATAGAACTCTGCACATATGTGCGGAAGTTCAAGTCGCCACACTACCCCCCCCCCATGTACCGCACAAAGCAAGAGAAGAAAGTAGAAGAAATGCATAATAGAGACAGTAAACAGAGGTGTGAGACAAAGGAATAGTAATAACGAAGAACAATATAGTTTCATTGAAGATCATAAGTCACAAGGAGTGGATGCATCTGCGGTAGCCATTGAAAACGATTTTGAGCCATATCACCAATAGTTTCCAACCATTAGTTTTTATCGTCCCGAGGACCCCAACCAGATAGTCTACACCTTCCTACATGGCTTAGACTAACTGTTGTGGATTTCATTGACTGGTGCCTTGTTTTGGTTTGACTGCCACTAACTCTTTTCCAACCTGATCCATCCTATGTCAGCTAACACTGCGATGACTAGGGATACGTAACATATGTCCTAACCATCTCAGTCGATGTAATTTCACAACGTCGTCGATTGATTTCCCCTTTAACTCACCTATCACTCGACGCCTAACGTCAATATTGTCTTCTGAGCAAGCCTTTTTTCCTCGGCGTCCCCACAAAAGGGGAGACACACGCCCTTTGGTCGGTAGTCGGATATCACGTCTACGCCAGAGACGGTGTAAACTGGCATATGCGAAACTAGCCCTCTGTATCCATGCTGAGATTTCGTCAGAGATCAACCTGTTGGTACTTCCCAAATAAGTGAAGTGGTCAACGTGCTCTACCACTTCACTCCTTCCTATTTCTAATCTAGGAGTCAGTGTGGTCCATTCCTGTATCATCATCTTCTTTTTCCCTTCACGTTCCCAGTGGAACATAGGGCCTCAAGCTAGTAGCTTGAAGTCTCTGTAGCAGTGCTTAATTTTGCAGGATGGAGTTGCTAGCCAACCTCATGCCCTCAACCTTCTCTCTTTACCAGTCTTATTACTGGCTTAGCGAGGTAAAGGAGTACCTTGTCGACCGAGGATCGAACCTCGGACCATGTGCATGGTCGACGAGCGTCCTAACTGCTGTGCCACCCACGCACATTTTGTTTGATATCGTTGTTTAGTTTTCACTTCTGGAGAAACAAAAACATTCGCCTCTTTTCCAGTGGTAAACGCAATAAGAATCGGGCGGCCAGCTCTAGAGATCGTGATAAATTCATTCACTTCGATCACCGGCTAAACTGACGTCTAGTGAGTGACCCAGGGGAACAACCAATCAAATGAGCCGAGTGGTTAGAAGGTGCATAAATTGCATCTCCAACAAATTTCCTCCTGGTTTTGTATTTCCGTACTATCGTGATAATATATTGATAGGAAGGATTAAAATGTATAATTGTGGTGGTGGTTGGACGGGGGGATAATGGCTTCGCAGAGATATATGCAGGTGCCATTAAAAGATACGCATACACAAACGTCGTAGTTGTCGTTGTAGAAGCTACGTACGGGAAATGATGCCATTCATTTAATTGATTTCGTCTAATAACAATAATTTGCTTTATCCCAAAGAGTACTTGTGATACAGAATGGAATTCACAGCATTTTACTACAATATTGCGGATCCAGTTAGTACATTACCAATAAATAAAATTCTAAATAGATTAAGGGTAATCTCAGTTAGTTTTGACAACAACATATTTGCATGTTGGTAGCAAAGCCAAAAGGGAACAAAATGTTTGAAGGTGTTAGAAAAGTAGATACTACTAGCATATTTACTGGTGTAAGCGGTAACAAAAAGGTGTGTGAAAGAACGAAGAAGAATATTTTAATAAATAGAGTTTGTAAGGAAGAGAGAAACAAAGCAGCACAAAAGAGAGAAAGAAAACGTTGTACCTACAAATGATATGAGTTGGAAAGACGAGATCCAATTGTTCTACTGACTATTTAATAAGTTATAGGTATCACGCCTAATGCTTTCCCTATCGCACAGAACACGAGCTAAGTAGGGTATGGTTGAGTTTTTGTACCTGCTAGTGTGAGCATATAATTTTCTATATAGGCTTCTGGTTCTCCCTGATGAGATAGATACAAGGGGAGAGATGTGAATGAAGAGGGTGGTGTGAGTTAGATAGATAGAATGGATTTAGCCCATTTCTGACATGAGTCCAAGTGCCTGTCGACCATAATATTAACAAGCTGGTTAAGTGGCACCCTGTGGCTTACCCTGCTGATAACCTTTAACATCCTACGTAATAAGATATAGTCCTTCTTCAGTAGCCCTGGTAAAACTAAGGAGGAGCAATAGAGAATAATAGTTATAATGCGAGAGTTAACGAATCGTATGAGTAAGGGTTGGGTTATTCCAGAATGTCTTAACTTCTTGATGTAGAAGGTAAGACGGAATATTTTCTTAGAAATCATCAAGATATGAGACGACCAATAGGGGAAGATCAGCAGATAGAAGGACGCCAAGTGCGCCCAACCTACAATAATGATTGTTTGTCACATATGAGCTTTGAAGCAAAGAATAAGGGCAACTGATGGATACTGAGACCGATAATATCGAAGTATCACTACGGATGACAAATCATGTCGATGAAACGGTTCTTATAAGGAGGAAATACAGCTGTGGAAAACAATGCAGGCAACGATTTATTGAGGAGAGAATCTCTGACCGTAGTGCACAGGTATATTTAATGCCAATTATGCAGCATTTTGTGATACCCTGAATAAACTATCTACATGGTTGAATGAAATGGTTGTCGTCATTCAGTTGTATTCATAACACTGTAAATCAATTTGCTGATTTTGTTGATTGATTAGATGGGACTCATACTAGTTCCATTAAATGATTCTGTGGGGGGAGTGTATTTGAGAAACAAGAGATTTTGAACGATAACAAGGGGTAATAAAATGACAGAAATTAGTTTTAGACCAGGATTATCTGACCTAGGTTTTATGCATACGGGCAATGGATATGTGCAGTTTTGAAGGGACTGATTTCTACTTTCAGAGTTGAAGCCGCATTGCCCAGTACTGCATTCAGAGATCTTACCGCGCTTAACTGTTGACTGACCTCTTGTGACATCGTAGTTAATAAGTATTTATCGATTTCAAAATATATATATGAAAGTGGAATTTAATTGGTGGATGGTGACTAGCAGTGGTATCCAGGATACGCATTTCGTGCTATTTGGGACTCGTCCGCCAGCTGGATGTACCTGCATTTCCCAGTGAGTGATGATGTTCCCACTGGGACTCGAACCCAGTGACCATATTTTCAAACCTCCAAAGCATTATCCATTTGGGCCACCTCTTGTGCGATAAAATATGTATGAAAGTGGCAAGAATCAACCACAGTTTAATGTAATTAATTTTTGGAAGACTTATGGCTGGTGAAACAGTGACCAAATAAGAGGTAAAAGTTGATGATTTAGTAGTTCTGATAGTAACAGATGAAAGACTTTATTTCACTTAACACGAATGTGAACCAGTATTGGAAGAGAGGGAATATTTCGATTAGGAGCTGGATCTGGTCATTTTTCCAGCCGTATGACTTCTGGGACCCCAACTCATGAAGACGGCATGCACCAAATCAATAGGATTATTTTTTATCTCATTACACCACGTCGTGGTTTGGATACCCCTAGTTTTCCCAAGAACTTTGGTGGCCGCCAAGATGATATTCGAAATATATATGACATAGGCTACTGACAAGATTTATCAGTAGTATATAAAAAGACGTTCGTCAGCACAAAAATTTAAAATGGAGGGAGAGACACATTTGACGTCAAAGAGAGTAAATGAATCAGTATATTGTGAGAAAACATGGGAGACATGAGAAGAGAAGACAAAGAAACACAATACAAAGTGGGTTGGGGGCGGGGGGGCGGGCAGAAGTAGCACAACACACGTTGGAAATGTGCTCAGCAGCCATTGAAACAGGAAGGCATGAGAATTCTGGCTAGCCGTCTCCGATCATAGGTGTCTGCTTTCTATTTCCCATGTTAGGTGGCATATCAGAGTGAGCAATATTGAGGTTAGGCATCGTTTGAGTGCTGTGTTAGAAGGAAGGGAAAATCAGTCAACGAAGTTGTGAAGTTACATCGATTGAGAGAGGTGGTTAGGACATGTGTTACGCATGCGTAACCTAGCCATTGCCTTCCTCTATAATAGGTAATGTTAGCTGACATAGAATGGTGGATCAGGTTGTTGAAGAGCTAGGAGGTGGTGGTCAAACCAAAACATGGCTGGCTTCAGCAGTCAATGAAATCCACAGGCCTGGTCGGTTGGACGGGGGGAACATGGATGATAAGTGGGCCGTAGCTACGAGCGGTTCGAATCCCGGTGGGTGCGTACTGATGAAGAGTTCCAAACTAGGGCGAAACAGCTGTCCAGTACTCCCAGGTTTTCCAATGGTTCTCTAACTAATGTCAGCTCATGATGAAATCCACAATAGTTAGTTTAGGCCAGCCAGCCACGTAGGGAGGTGTAGAGTGCCTGTTTGTGATTTTCGGGATGGTGAGAGTCAATAACTGGAGACAATTAGTCATATGGCTCACAATCGTCTTCGAGTGATGGCTGGCGCAGATGCATTCACTCTTTTCGTGATTTATCATAAATATCATAATAAAATTCTATGGTTCTTCCGTATTACTAATCCTAATCCCTTCATTGACACTTCTCTTCATTATCTTTGTCGCTCTCTTTTGAACCTCTCTGTGGTCTTGGTTTGTGTGATACATGGAGTGTGACAACTCAAACTGCTGCACATGTGTGCAAAGTTCTGTGTTGAAAGGAGTGAATCAGAGCAGAAATGACACGGAAACAAAAATTACATTGGATTAAAAATAGTTGAATAATTGCATAGTGAGTAGAACAGTTTTTAACGAGGACAGATGTAAGTGGGATGAGCATAGAAACACATACTGAAATACAGCTTTTCATTTCATCATATGTAAAGATGGCAAAATTTCAGGGAATAAAAGAAGACGACAACTTTGATTCTAGTTTTGTGCCATGTGCTCTACTGACAAGATTCGTCGATAGTGTATACAGGGACATTCATCAGCACAAAAATATCAAACAGTGG